TATAATACATCATACTATAGTGTATGTCATGAAAGATTTATAAAATACATCATACTATAGTGTGTCATGAAAATTTATAAAAAAAACATCATACTATAGTGTGTCATGAAAATTTATAAAATACATCATACTATAGTGTGTCATGAAAAATGTATAAAATACATCATACTATAGTGTGTCATGAAAATCTATCAAATACATCATACTATAGTGTGTCATGAAAGATTTATAAAATACATCATGCTATAGTGTGTCATGAAAATCTGTAAAATACATCATACTATAGTGTGTCATGAAAATTTATTAAATATATCATACTATAGTGTGTCATGAAAATCTATAAAATACATCATACTATAGTGTATGTCATGAAAATATGTAATATACATCATACTATAGTGTGTCATGAAAATTTATAAAATAGATCATACTATAGTGTGTCATGAAAATTTATAAAATAGATCAAACTGTAGTGTTTCATGAAAATATATAAAATACATCATACTATAGTGTGTCTTGAAAATCTGTAAAATACATCATACTATAGTGTGTCATGAAAATTTATAAAATACTTCATACTATAGTGTGTCATGAAAATATATAAAACACATCATACTATAGTGTGTCATGAAAATTTATAAAATACTTCATACTATAGTGTGTCATGAAAATATATAAAATACATCATACTATAGTGTGTCATGAAAATTTATAAAATATATCATACTATAGTGTGTCATGAAAATCTATAAAATACTTCATATTTTAGTGTGTCATGAAAATTTATAAAATACATCATACTATAGTGTGTCATGAAAATCTATAAAATACTTCATATTATAGTGTGTCATGAAAATATATAAAATACATCATACTATAGTGTGTCATGAAAATCTATAAAATACATCATACTATAGTGTATGTCATGAAAATATGTAATATACATCATACTATAGTGTGTCATGAAAATTTATAAAATAGATCATACTATAGTGTGTCATGAAAATTTATAAAATAGATCAAACTGTAGTGTTTCATGAAAATATATAAAATACATCATACTATAGTGTGTCTTGAAAATCTGTAAAATACATCATACTATAGTGTGTCATGAAAATTTATAAAATACTTCATACTATAGTGTGTCATGAAAATATATAAAACACATCATACTATAGTGTGTCATGAAAATTTATAAAATACTTCATACTATAGTGTGTCATGAAAATATATAAAATACATCATACTATAGTGTGTCATGAAAATTTATAAAATATATCATACTATAGTGTGTCATGAAAATCTATAAAATACTTCATACTATAGTGTGTCATGAAAATCTATAAAATACATCATACTATAGTGTGTCATGAAAATTTATAAAATACTTTATACTATAGTGTATGATCATGAAAAGGTATAAAATACATCATATTAGACTTTGTCATGAAACCATTTGAAATACATCATATTATAGTTTGTAATGAAAAAGTATAAAATACATCATACTATAGTGTTTAATGAAAATCCATAACATAAATCATACTATAGTGTATGTCATGAAAAATTTATAAAATACATCATACTATAGTGTGTCATGAAAATTTATAAAAAACATCATACTATAGTGTGTCATGAAAATTTATAAAATACATCATAATATAGTGTGTCATGAAAAATGTATAAAATTCATCATATTATAGTGTGTCATGAAAATCTATAAAATACATCATACTATAGTGTGTCATGAAAAATGTATAAAATACATCATGCTATAGTGTGTCATGAAAACGTTTCTAAATGATCATACTCTGTCATGAAAAGTGTCAAATGCATCTTATGTGTCATGAAAAGCTATAATACATCATACTATAGTGTGTCATGAAAATTTATAAAAAACATCATACTATAGTGTGTCATGAAAATTTATAAAATACATCATACTATAGTGTGTCATGAAAATCTATAAAATACATCATACTATAGTGTGTCATGAAAAATTTATAAAATACATCATGCGATAGTGTGTCATGAAAATCTATAAAATACTTCATACTATAGTGTATGTCATGAAAATATGTAATATACATCATACTATAGTGTGTCATGAAAATTTATAAAATACATCATACTATAGTGTGTCATGAAAATCTATAAAATACTTCATACTATAGTGTGTCATGAAAATATATAAAATACATCATACTATAGTGTGTCATGAAAATTTATAAAATAGATCATACTATAGTGTATGATCATGAAAAGGTATAAAATACATCATACTAGACTGTGTCATGAAACCATTTGAAATACATCATATTATAGTTTGTAATGAAAAAGTATAAAATACATCATACTATAGTGTTTAATGAAAATCTGTAACATAAATCATACTATAGTGTATGTCATGAAAAATTTATAAAATAAATCATACTATAGTGTGTCATGAAAATTTATAAAAAACATCATACTATAGTGTGTCATGAAATTTTATAAAATACATCATGCTATAGTGTGTCATGAAAAATGTATAAAATACATCATACTATAGTGTGTCATGAAAATCTATAAAATACATCATACTATAGTGTGTCATGAAAAATTTATAAAATACATCATGCTATAGTGTGTCATGAAAATCTGTAAAATACATCATACTATAGTGTGTCATGAAAATCTATAAAATACTTCATATTATAGTGTGTCATGAAAATATATAAAATACATCATACTATAGTGTGTCATGAAAATCTATAAAATACTTCATACTATAGTGTATGTCATGAAAATATGTAATATACATCATACTATAGTGTGTCATGAAAATTTATAAAATACATCATACTATAGTGTGTCATGAAAATCTATAAAATACTTCATACTATAGTGTGTCATGAAAATCTATAAAATACATCATACTATAGTGTGTCATGAAAATTTATAAAATAGATCATACTATAGTGTATGATCATGAAAAGGTATAAAATACATCATACTAGACTGTGTCATGAAACCATTTGAAATACATCATATTATAGTTTGTAATGAAAAAGTATAAAATACATCATACTATAGTGTTTAATGAAAATCTGTAACATAAATCATACTATAGTGTATGTCATGAAAAATTTATAAAATAAATCATACTATAGTGTGTCATGAAAATTTATAAAAAACATCATACTATAGTGTGTCATGAAAATTTATAAAATACATCATGCTATAGTGTGTCATGAAAAATGTATAAAATACATCATACTATAGTGTGTCATGAAAATCTATAAAATACATCATACTATAGTGTGTCATGAAAAATTTATAAAATAGATCATACTATAGTGTATGATCATGAAAAGGTATAAAATACATCATACTAGACTGTGTCATGAAACCATTTGAAATACATCATATTATAGTTTGTAATGAAAAAGTATAAAATACATCATACTATAGTGTTTAATGAAAATCTGTAACATAAATCATACTATAGTGTATGTCATGAAAAATTTATAAAATAAATCATACTATAGTGTGTCATGAAAATTTATAAAAAACATCATACTATAGTGTGTCATGAAATTTTATAAAATACATCATGCTATAGTGTGTCATGAAAAATGTATAAAATACATCATACTATAGTGTGTCATGAAAATCTATAAAATACATCATACTATAGTGTGTCATGAAAAATTTATAAAATACATCATGCTATAGTGTGTCATGAAAATCTGTAAAATACATCATACTATAGTGTGTCATGAAAATCTATAAAATACTTCATATTATAGTGTGTCATGAAAATATATAAAATACATCATACTATAGTGTGTCATGAAAATCTATAAAATACTTCATACTATAGTGTATGTCATGAAAATATGTAATATACATCATACTATAGTGTGTCATGAAAATTTATAAAATACATCATACTATAGTGTGTCATGAAAATCTATAAAATACTTCATACTATAGTGTGTCATGAAAATCTATAAAATACATCATACTATAGTGTGTCATGAAAATTTATAAAATAGATCATACTATAGTGTATGATCATGAAAAGGTATAAAATACATCATACTAGACTGTGTCATGAAACCATTTGAAATACATCATATTATAGTTTGTAATGAAAAAGTATAAAATACATCATACTATAGTGTTTAATGAAAATCTGTAACATAAATCATACTATAGTGTATGTCATGAAAAATTTATAAAATAAATCATACTATAGTGTGTCATGAAAATTTATAAAAAACATCATACTATAGTGTGTCATGAAAATTTATAAAATACATCATGCTATAGTGTGTCATGAAAAATGTATAAAATACATCATACTATAGTGTGTCATGAAAATCTATAAAATACATCATACTATAGTGTGTCATGAAAAATTTATAAAATACATCATGCTATAGTGTGTCATGAAAATCTGTAAAATACATCATACTATAGTGTGTCATGAAAATCTATAAAATACTTCATATTATAGTGTGTCATGAAAATATATAAAATACATCATACTATAGTGTGTCATGAAAATCTATAAAATACTTCATACTATAGTGTATGTCATGAAAATATGTAATATACATCATACTATAGTGTGTCATGAAAATTTATAAAATACATCATACTATAGTGTGTCATGAAAATCTATAAAATACTTCATACTATAGTGTGTCATGAAAATATATAAAATACATCATACTATAGTGTGTCATGAAAATTTATAAAATAGATCATACTATAGTGTATGATCATGAAAAAGATATAAAATAGAGATAACAAAGATAGATAGATAGATAGATAGATAGATAGATAGATAGATAGATAGATAGATAGATAGATAGATAGATAGATAGATAGATAGATAGATAGATAGATAGATAGATAGATAGATAGATAGATAGATAGATAGATAGATAGATAGATAGATAAAACAATTTTTCTGCTTATTAATCAAACTGCTTGTTTTTTTCTCACAGATGATGATCATGATGGGAATTATCGGCGTTATTTTTGTTGGTGTCATTTTCTGTAAGTAAAAAATATCTTTCTGTCTTTTTTCTAAACTTGTTTCCGTGTTTATCTACAAAACCACAAATCAAACAACAATATGAACACACACACACACACACACACACACACATCAAATAGTACATTATGCTCAAAATCCTGAAACGATTACACAGAAATTGGTTCGCCATGGAACGCCTGAAGCCCTGGCTGCAAGCAAGGCAGATCTTTCTGCTCAGACGTGGGATGAAGTTTTTTGTACTGAGGACACCGACCTAGCGTATGATGCCTTCTCATCCAAAGTAACCAAACTCTATGATAAACACTGCCCATTAAAGCTGTATATTACTGAAAATAAAATTAAAATAAAAAGATCTGGATAACATATGGCATAGTAAAGGCTTGTAAGAAGAAAAATCACCTTTACAGAATATATTAAAAACAAAGAAATAAAAGCCTCATATAGATGATATGAAGTTAAAAATATAAAAAAATATAGGACTTATGAGTAGAATGAGATTTGTTTTAGATATTAAATCCCTTCAGGTACTCTGTAACTCATTTATTTTACCATATCTGAGCTATGGTGTTGAAATATGGGGAAATAATTACAGAGCAAATATTTATCCTATATATTTACTTCCAAAAAAGGTAGTTTGAATAATTTCCCATGCTAACTATTGTGCACCAACAAAGTCTATCTTTATCCATTTAAAAATTCTAAAGTTTTACGATATCATTGACCTGCATACACTGGCTGTAGTATATCAGTGTACTGAGTTAATTTACATGTTATTTAATGAGCCATAAGACATAAGATTCCATAGTAAATATGAAATCAACCTTATGGATCTGTTGGGTTATTTTAACCAGAAGATTTGAACTTTTTATTGCAGGGATTATGTAACAACTTCGTATTAAATCAGACAGCAGAAGAGAGTCAAGTTTAAAAGTTTAAAGATTTATTACTAAACAAATTAAACTAGACTAACTAACACTAAATGTATGGTGTAACTAAGGTGAATGAGACAGAATGGTGTAGTGTGGAATGTTGCTCAGAACCAGCAAATCCGAAGAAACGATTAGTTCTGGTGGGAAGTGAAGGTGACGTCTTCGCGCTAAGCTTTGGTTTGGAGATTCATAAATACATTCGACGCCATTCTGTCGGTCTGCGTACCCTTTTGGAAGTCCCCGTTAGATCAGGAATGTCGAGGTCCAGCTGGACCCTCTCTGGAACTGAAGCCGTTAGGAAAAGCAGCGGTTGCCGACCAGACCAGTCTTGAGATACTTCCGGGTCACAACAGTTTATCGGCATCTAGCGAGACCCAGAACTGGGTCGAGATGGTTCAGCTTTTATTCTGAAAGGAACCGTTGCAGCAGTGGGAACAGCAACAGATTTTATCCAGCTTGTCGTTGGTTCTTTCGGCTGAAGAGGAAAGTTACGGATCGGCCACTCCGACGACTTCTCTAGAACGCTTTGAACCAGCGTTAAAGATGATGTGGGCATAGTTTTATACTTCGGATGTTTTGGTTTATGGTCGAATGAAAAGATGACAGATTTACCAAACACCACCTAAACCACGCCTCCGTCAGATCCGGCAGATTCTGATTGGATCAGTAAAGCAATGTGTCATGTCTTAACGCTACGTGAGATCAGTCCTAGTGGAACATTTAGTCATATTACTTATTACATTCTATAAGATTATAATAAAGTAATTAATATTTTGATTTCACAGGTCGGTCACATCTTATTATTGACTAACACTTTGTTTGATTAGCTTTATTAAAATAGAGTTCTTTGATTGAGTAAAAGGAGAGAGTCCTTTCTTCATTCTTCTCTTGAGCTGGAAAGGAAGCAGTTTAGAAGCAAATGCATGAGACCTTGAGGCCACATCTCATGCAGACTAGTTCTGTGTCAGAGGAGAGGGGGAAAATGACTTTTGGTGGAAAACAGTCATTTCATTCTGTTACATATGGCATGTCAGGCTCATCTTCCACCTTATCTCCAAAGGATGTTTGAACAAAGGGAAGGAGGATATAGTCTAAGAGGAACTGGAATAAAAAAAAAGAACATTAGAACCAATAAAAAAAGATGTATCTCAGTAAGAGGAGTGAGTTTATGGAAAAGCCTCGAGGATAGATTAAAAAATTCATGCTCGTTGAAAATATTCAAAAAGAGTCTTAAAAATAACGCCTTACGTAATTACCAAGTACACCAAAATTAGTTTCGCCACACGTTTATACCTCTTGATTGATTTTGTTGAAATTAGGATGATGCATGTAATAACTGTATTGTTTACATGTTTATTTACCTTTGATATTTATGACACTGTTGATTTTTTGTAATGAATTAATGGGTAAGTTTAACTTCCGTCTGCACATTTTCCTTCATAAACTATATCTAAAGAAACTGTTTGATTTATAAGAGGAAGTTGTGCTTGTGATAATTATTATGATCTTTATTAGATCATTACTTTCCTTTTCATGTGTTTTATATGTATTGTTATGACGGAAAAATAAATACAAATAAAAACACACACACACATCTATTAGTTTTACTTTTTAAATAAGACCCAGATTCTCTGGGGCGTCTGGCTGTATTTTCTACATGATTTCAGCATCATCAGCATCATCATCATCATCATCATCATCATCCTATGAATCTTAAATATCTAGATAAAAAATAATTTCTTCACCTGAATAAGAAAAAACACTCCGATTTTAGATTAGGATTAGGATCACATCCTCTGTATTTATTCTCCTGTTAAACAGCACATTTTAATCCCACGAAATCATCTTTTTGTCTCCTAATCCTGCTTTGAAGAGTTTGATTTGATTGATTTTGTCTTTTCTCTTCAGTGTATTTCTTCTATTGAGCTGCTCTTCACAGGACGAGTGAAAAAGCAACCCCGCAGGGCAGAATCCAGCCATCCTCAGCGCTCTTCATCCTCCTCTTCCTCAGAGACGCATAGCCCCGCCCTCCCCTCTGCACCAGTCAGGTTTACTGGGTTTATTGGTGTCACTGGGAGGAGGGACTTTCGCGTTTATAGAAACTCGTTTTAATCTTGATTTGTGCTTCATGTTGTTTCCAGTAAAGAACGACACAAACTGTTCTGTGTCTGTTATTATTGACTCTGACGCCCTAATCTGAATCTCAGCATGCCGCTGAGTGTTTATTGGAAAATTTCCCTTTTTTAATTTAACTTTTGCACCAAAAAGAGGAGCAGGAAGCATTTCCTCCTTGAAATTCTGCAGGAAAACCGTGACGTTGTGTTTTATTGGAGGATCATGAACTCATTTCACCTCTGTGCTCTCCTCCCAGGCTTGTTCTGTGTTCATCTGTCGAAGCTGCTAAAATAAAATTCAATACAATTAGAAACACTTTTCTCCGTGGTCCTGCTTTTTAACAAACTTATTCCAGCAGCTGCCCGTACATCTATTCATCTAGTCAGAATGTTTCATCCTTAAAACGACTACAAGTTTGATGACAACAGAAAATAACGGACCGGTGTGAGGTTGAGTGATTGGCCGAGCCCGCCGCTCGCGGACGAGACAAGCATTCAGGTCAGTCGAGTCAAGTCAACTTTATTTATAAAGCACTTTATAACAGCATACAAGCTGACCAATGTCAGCCAAAACGAGCAGAAGTTTCCTAAAATGCTAAAAATAAGATAAAAGTTCATCGAAAAGTAAAAACATGACAAAAACAAACATGTAAAACTGACATAAAAGCTACTGAGTTCAGACGAGTCCGTAAAAGTGATTTAAAACCCATCCTAATCTGGATTGGGAGTGCATTCCACAACACTGGAGCTTCTACTGGAGCAAGGCCATGAGCAGCTTTAAAAGCCAATAAAAGAACCTTGTACTGGACCCTAAAACTGACAGGCAGCCAGTGCAGCGAAGCTAACATTGGGGTGATGTGCTCCCTCTTTCTCTAACCCGTCAATAGGCGTGCTGCTGCATTTCCCACCATTTGAAGACGGGAGAGGTGAGATTGGTACAATGAGTTGCAATAGTCAAGGCGTGATGTAATAAACGCGTGAATTACCGTCTCAAAGTCATGGATTGAGAGGAGATGCTTAACCTTGGCGATCCTCCTTAACTGACAAAAACTAGCTTTGGTCACGGCCGTCAAGCCAGACAATTCATAAACCCTCTACACACCAGAGACAGGCTCCCGCCACCCGGCGGAGATACGCAGGTGAAGAAAATGGACGGATGGAGATTACACATCATTGAAAGCATTGAAGGATTCGACCATAACTGTAGAAAACACTTTCGTTAAACCACTCATGTTCAAACTACTGTTCAAAGCATCACATCAATAACAGAATAGTCCATCTCCAGCAAGAGTGGTCTTCACATCCGGAGGTCCAATAAAGTCTCGTATTCACAATCCAACATTATAAACTGCAGAAATCATTCAAGACTTCCCTCCGATGCACCTGAAATAATCCCTGTCAGCATCTACCGGGCTGCTGACCCTGCTAACCCTAACTCTCATGAGTACTGGAGCCATCCGAAGGGCAACCTGGTTGACCTTTGGACTGGAAGAGGTATAATAAACACAATTTATTGTTTTTAAAGAATATTATAGTTCTTAATCCTATATTAATGCATTTGTAATTAAAAAGATGACTGCAGATGTTTTTTGCTTGGACTTACGTTGTTTAGAGAGAAAGCCTGTGGGCACCGACCTCATGCACTTCCTGGGGCACCAGGCTGCAGACCGTTGCCTTAAAGGATTAAAACAAAGATTTGTTAAAGCTTCATTAAGATAAAAAGGCTAAAATATTCTTTTTTAAAACAACTAAAAAGAACCAAGGTGCAGTACCAGCTTTAGACACTGGAGGGCAGCAACTCCCCATCTTCCCTTCCCTTCTAAATGCTGTTGGAAACAAGAGCGCTGTTCCGTTTCTTGCCAGAAGAGGGCGCTAAATCCCTATTCTTTCAAGACACGAGCTTAGAGAAAATATTTCTACTAAATAACTAACTCTAGAAATTCAATTCCTTCTCCTTAAAATTAATATTCACAAGACAGGAAAAAGAAAGTTTAGGTTTTTTAGTTTCATTAGGATAAAGAGGCTGAAAGGGATCCTAAGCAGTTTTGCTAGCTTTTACCACCCCCTAGTGTCCGTTTGCAGAAGCGACCCCGTCTCCTCACTGTGCGTCGTCTACGAGCCAAAACGTCTCCCAGCGTTCCGAAGTGTCTAGAGGAGTTATTCATCACAAAATTATCCAAATCAGCTGGGTTCATGATCTAAAACCTAAAACATGCAGGAAATGTGCTGAAGCCAGGCAGCAGCGTCAGTTACCTCCACAGCAGACCGACCAGCACCTGTGAAGTTGCAAATGCGACATTCTGGCCACAGAGGGGCGATCGGGGCTGGGTGGCCTTTCATTAAGCACATGCTGACTCAAGAAAGTGATTTAAAACCATGAAAAAATTGCAAATTATCCCTTTAAATATTCTTTTCTAAATGGCCAAAAAGAACAAAGGTGTAGTTCCAGCTTTCAGACACTGGAGGGCATCAACTCCCCATCTTTCCTTCATTTTAAAGGCGACAAAGAATCTAAAGCAACATTTTCCTGTTTGTGAATAAAGACAGCTTGGGTGGTCAAAAGTTGCGCACCAGAAAGTCAAAGCCATGTGTGACCTATTTTTGTGTAAATTAGATATTTTTTAAAAGCAAGAAGAAAACTTATTTTCTGAGAAACCTCTCCTAAAAACGTCACAATGTGGAGCCCCTCCTCCAATCTGCAGCCCTCAGTGACTGAGGCCCGTCATCGCCTGATCCGTACCGCGCGTGTGCAGATGTTCACTTCTTCTCTTTCTTACTCCCCAGTGAACGAGGCTGACCGAGCTCTATCGTAAACGTGCGTCATTACGAATGGAGTTTGTGTGTGCGCGTTACATTTGATTTACTGATAGTCGAGTGTTTAGCACATAGGGAGCGTCTCCTTGCTTTCCGGTCGGTTCATGAGTCCCCGGACGAACGAAAAAGTGAATGCAAGTCAGCGGGGCTAAAAACGCTATTTTCTAACCCGCTTCGCCTTACGCCCTAGATTGCACATAAGTTGTACTACAATTTAAATGAAAAGTAACGATGGGTGTTTCGACCACGCTAGTCACGTTCGAGATTTATCAGCTTGTAAAAGTTCGTAACTAGCAAGACTGCACACCAGAAATCAGCACATCACATATGTGACGTCACCACATAATCTCCTACCCCCTAGCATAGCTGCTACTTACCATGTGACCAGATTTATGGTGGTTCTTTCCTCCTGAAGGATGGATTTGAAGTTTGCTGAACTTACAGCCATTTTCCCAGTTTTCCATGTCTGGTTTCGTGAAGCGCATTTGTAGTCCCGGATTTAGTTTCACACAAAACCTAAAATAGCGTTTCCCCCATTCGAAAATAAGCGCGTTCTTGTTATGTCAACGTGTCTTTAAAATTCACGGACGTCATTTGTGAAATACGTGGCACAAAACAAGCGGAATTACAACATAGCGTTTTTAGCTCCGTTGACTTGTATTCATTTTTTTCGTTCTTCCGGGGACCCATGGTCCGGATGTCGATGGGCGTGGCTTAGGCCAGGGGTTTAGAATGGCAGGAATCCTGGGACAGATGAAAACCAAAATTAAATTTCTTATGCTGAGATTCAAAGCAGTGATTTTGATGGCTGATAAACTGCATTCTTTGTCCCAGGGGCGTGTCCAGGGGGTGGCCTGGGGTAGCACATGCCACCCTTGGAATCTGATTGGCAAACTTTTCCACAAAATGCTTGGGGTAAAAAATAAAAAGCATAACCATCGGTGCCACCCATGCACAAAGAAGAGCACTACCTGGACCACCCCATTTTTAAAGATCTGGCCACACCACTGCTTTGTCCCGTTTAAACTGCTGTTGGAAACGAGTCGTTCAGTTTTTCGCCAGAGGAGGGCGCCAACTCCCCGCTCTTTCAAGGCAACAAGAGTTTAGAGGAAGAGTTTGTACTAAAGAGCGTGGTTTGTGCGAGCTAGTTAAGAGATGGTTAATCTCGTATTGTAAAGAATTTTTGTTCTTAAACCAAACAAAAATGTATTTTTTTAATTTTTTTTTATTTAGGTCCCAAAAAACCATCATAATAACATTATATCAATAATATTAATACAGAAATGCAAAAAAGGGGAAAAAAATAAAAAAGCTTTATTGTCCACAGCCTTGTAACATTTTGGGGGAGGGGGGGAGGGGGTTCTGATCCTCCTGAAAATCTCTGTAAAGTCTGTTATGGTGGTGAAAAGTGAACAGGGCGTGGCTTCAAGCTCGGACGCACCGCGCCGTCCCTCACTCTGCTGTGCATCAATCAGGAATGTTGACGTGAGGCAGGGGGTGGTTCTTGAGGTTAGAGACAATTTTCAGTCTACTGCTGCGACATCTGATGGAGAGAGAAGACGAGTTATAGACGCGTCCGACATTTCTGGTTGTAAAAACCAACTTCGGGAAGGACTCTTCACCTGCTGCGCCTGCGGCTGAGTGTCCGGCCCTCGGCTTGCTAGGCGGCTCAGGATGTTCCTCTCAGACATTTGGAGTCGTACGGCGACCGGCGGTATCCGGGCGATGGTTGCTGGGAGACGGGTCACGTCCGCCTTCATATCGCTCAGCAGCTCCTCCAACTGCTTCAGCACTGAGAGACGGAGAGGGAGCAGAAAAGCCTTCAACTCCGGCGTCACATTTTTACGCATAAATCAGGTTTTTGTTGCAGTTGGTACCTTTGTGCAGGACGGCGTTGGCCGGCTTGTTGCCCGACATGGACTCCTTGCTGAGGTGCTGGTGGGACTCGGCCAAACACTCCACCTCGCTGAAGCGGGTGTTGAGAGCCATGGAGGGGTGTGACGGGTCCTCCGACATGTTGAGGTAGGCGGCGCGCCGCAGCTGCTCCTCGATCACCAGGGCCTGTTCCAACAGCTGGACAGATCCGGAGCGGAAGACGTTAGAGACGTTTCTGCAGCGTCGACCTTTCTGCAACTTTAAGCTTTGACTGGTTTACCTTGAATCTTCGGGCGAGAAACTTGTTTTTGATTTCTAGAAAGTTGCCCCGGTTCATCTCTCCTTTGAAGGGCTCGTTGAGGATGGCGAACCTCGCGTCATTCTGGATGTCCTGCCAGCGAGCGTAGCCGTGTCTGGAAAGAGCGACGGTCAAGGACAACCGGCGTCAGCCTCAGACGGCCCTAGCGCTAACTGCTCAGGACGGGTAAAGGATACTGGATGATGCCGGCCAGCAGCCAGTAGTCGTGGCGACGGTGCCAGATCTCGTTGGTTTTCTTGGTTACCGTGGCGGCGCGCTCCTCGTTCTGCCACAGGGAGTGGAGCTCTGAGGAGGAAACAGAAAGACGTCAGCGGTTGAAAGAAAACAACTCAGAAGAGAAGCGTGTTCATCGAGAGTCCGAACCTGTGAACCCTCCGTCTGCGATGTTAAACATGAACCGGGTTTTGGCTCTCTTCTTCTCCTCGCTGACGCTGTTGGCTGCGGAGGAAGCAGGAACCAAGGCTCCGCCCTCTTTTCCGCTGTCTCCGTTCTGCAGCTTGGTCACCTCCTCTGGCTTTAAAGCCTCTTTATCCTCCTTCACATCTGAGAAACGGGAAGGAGGAGCGGTTATTTCTGCACACCGGAGCAGAGGAAACAACGTGGATCAGCGTCGGGTACCTTTCTTGTCCTCCGCAGCAGGACTGGCGTCCATCTTTTCTGTCTTTTCTTCCTTCTTTTCGTCTGATGATGGTAAAATTTAACAGATTAAAACATCATTTATTTGTTTAGTGACATCAAACAGCTGAGGAGATTCACCTTTGACCCCCGCGTCTTCCTTCCTGACCTCTGACCCCTCCGTATTTGCCTCTGATTTGTTTTCCTCTCTTCTGTCTGGACTCTTCCTCTCAGCCTCTCCCTCCTTCATGCTTTCTGCGTCTCCGTTGCTCGGTTTGTCTGTCTCCATCGGCTCCTCCCCGTTCTTCTGCTCCGCCGGACTCTTCTCGTCATCGTCCGGGATGGCGATGACCTGCGAGAGAACCAAACCATCATCAGACCTCCTCTTCTCGTTCCCAAATCCTCTCTTTTGTTCGCGTGGTTAAAATCTTCACCTCGTTGCTTTTGACTGGATCTTTCCCGTTCTTCTCCGCCTCCGCCTCCTTCTTCGCCTCCTTCTCTCCGTCTTTTGCTGCTTCGTCGTTCTTCGAGTCGTCAGCTACAAACAGATTTACTCGTTAGTTCCGTTTCAAGTCCTCCGGAGATTAAACGGGACTTTTTCGGAGTCGTACCGGGAGCGGGGGTATTGGGCTCCGTGTCTGCCGGGGTGCCGGTGGACGGGGTCTTCCCTGGGGAGTCGGGCTGAGCCGCAGCCCGCTTGTTCTCCTCCAGGTCGGCCATCCAGGGCATGGACCACTGGCCGTTCACGTGCTCGAACTCCTGCACCTAAAGGAGGCGCCCAGTTAGCGGGACTCGCTCAATCCAAGCATTTCCACGGATGCCAGGCACCCAGAGACGTTCAAACTGAATAAAAATAGATTTTTTTACCTTTTTACGTATGAGCGACATGACGCCAATACGCGTGAGGACGTGCTGCCGTGACAACCCTTCTCTGGGAACGCCGTCGGCAAAGGTCTCGGCCCCGTCGGCGCCGGGTTCACACAGGTGGCGCATGAACAGAGAGACGTAGGCCCTGAAACAGCGACGGAGACCGTGAGACGCCGTGACGCCGGACAGGCCGCGAAGACTAAAGCGGGACTTTTGTTTTTACTTGAATTCTTTCTCCGATTTCCCTCGCAGGTCCCGGACCAGCCACTGGGTGGTGAAGGCATCCTGGGGAGGCATCCCGTAACGCATCACTGCGTTCAGGAAGGCTTTCCGCTGCCGTGAGTTGAAACCCAACACCTGGGAAACGAGTTTGACCGTAAGTCCTCGTTTTCTGAGCTCACAGACCCAATCCCTGCAGCTGAAGGGACTTATGGGTAATTTTTGGCGCGCACAAGCGGCTCACCTCAATGTTGCCTCCCACCCTGGCCAGCAGGGCGGGCAGCGGCTTGTCTTTGTCATTCCTCAGGCCCTTCCTGCTGGGCCTGCGAGAGTTGGCTGCCGTGGAAACGAGAGATGAAGCGTAAACAACAACAGATGTTCCCAATCGACCATAAAAGTGTCTTTTTGGTGTTTTAAGTGTTTAAGCGTCAAAATAAAACTAAATAAATAACCAACTGTCCAGTTTTAGGAGTTTTTCGACTTTCATTTGGAGCTGAAGGACGGGGAAAGAGCTTCTTACCCTCTGACCGCTCATCAAAGTCCTCATCACCCTCCTCAGACGCCACGGAGTAATCCGATTGGCCGTCGGACTGATCGTCCTGCCAGTCGGCTTTAGGACAAAAGCAAGAATCGTGTTATTGATAAGGAGTAACACACACACACACACACGCACACACGCGCGCGCACACACACCTCGGTCTTCCTGGGAGCCGTCGTTGTAGTTGACCTGCTTCCGGATCCGTTTGCCCTTTCCCAGGTTTCGGGCCAGATCCTCCTGCTGCTGCTCGTAATGGTGCCGCAGCAGCTTCTCCCAGTAGTCCGGATCCACGCTCTCCTCCTGTTTGATGATCTCCCGCTGCACCTCCTCCTCCTGAGTGGAGTAAAGAGGAGGTTTACGCTGAAGCAGATGAACGCAGACGCGGCCGTCCCGGCTGCTGCCTCACCTCCTCCTCCTCGTCCTTCACCACGTACTGAGCCACTTTGAAGGAGCTCAGGTACTCGTTCATGCTCTGCAGCTCCGTGTCATCCGTGGCGTCCTGATTCCTGTCCAGCAGCCGGTCGATGGCTTTGTCGTCGTAGTGGATGATGCTGCTGTCCTCCTCTTTCTCACCTGGAGAAGACACAAGCATGAGACGGCGCTCCTCCACAAGTCCCTAAAGTGTTCCCATCCCATCCTCGCCTTCTCCCTCGTCCTTGAAGAGCGCTTCCGTCCCAAACTTGAGAATGTCGTCCAGCTCCTGTTTGGACATGGAGCCGGTTTTGGATCCGAGACCGGGTCGGACCACCAGGTGAGTCAGCATCATCTTCTTCTTGGCGACCTGAAGCAAAGAAGCAAAACCATCAGAGTTTGTTCGTTAGACCCGGAGACGTTTTTTTTCCACGGCGCTCCGCTCACCTGCGTGATCCTCTCCTCCACCGACGCCTTGGTGACGAATCGGTAGATCATCACCTTTTTGTTCTGACCGATACGGTGAGCTCTGCTGAAGGCCTGAACACGGAGGGAAAAGGTCGAGATGATTCCCGTTTCACCGACGCAAATAATCCGTTTCAATCCCGAGAGAGCGGCCGAGGCGCCGTACCTGGATGTCGTTGTGAGGATTCCAGTCGGAGTCGTAGATGATGACGGTGTCGGCCGTGGCCAGGTTGATGCCCAAACCTCCGGCTCTCGTCGACAGCAGGAAGGCAAACTGCTGAGCTCCAGGAGCTGAAGGTGGAAAAGGTCCGACTCGTGAAACCGCACGTCCAGAAGGGTTGAATCAAACCACAGATTAACAAAGAAGAGACGGATAATCTCACCGTTGAACCGATCGATAGCTTCCTGTCTCATTCCTCCTGTGACCCCTCCGTCGATCCGCTCGTATTTGTACCCTTCGTGTTCCAGGAAATCCTCCAGAAGATCCAACATCTTGGTCATCTGCAGGAAAAAAACAGGTGAACTCAAAACCTCCTAAATTTAAGCTCAAAACCCCGTTTTTTTACGTTTCGGACCTGAGAGAAAACAAGAACTCGGTGTCCTCCCTCCTTCAGCTTCCTCATCATCTTCTGCAGCAACAGCAGCTTCCCGGAAGCCTTTGTGAGGGCGTTTCCGTCGTACATCCCGTTGGGCATCTTTGGCGCTTCCTGTTGGTTGCATCAAGTTAAAACTCGGCTCAAAACAACGTCGAAGGTAAACTAACGTTCCTTCTGGGCGTTTGTTGCGTACCATAGCAGCGCCGGGGAAGAGGTAGGGGTGGTTGCAGCACTTTTTGAGATCCATGACGACGTTCAGCAGCGAGACCTGGTTTCCTCCTCCTTTCGTGTTGAGTGCATCGAAGTTTTTCGTCAGGATGAATTTATAATATTTCCTGCAGACAGAAAACAGACGTTTAGTCTCGACGGCCTTTGCCTTTTAAAAACGGCGCCTCCGGGCTCACTTCTGCATGGGGCTGAGCTCCACGCGGACGATCAGCTCGGTCTTGGAGGGCATGTGCTTGAAGACGTCGGCCTTCAGCCTCCTGAGCATGTGCGGACCCAGCATGTCGTGCAGCTTCTTGATCTGGTCCTCTTTAGCGATGTCGGCGAACTCCTCCAGGAAAACCTCCAGCTTGCTGCAGACGGGAGACAGGAAACGTTTCAAAAGCCGCGGATCAGAGCCAAAGCAAGGGAATTGGGCGGGAGTCGGACGTACTTGAACCTCTCGGGCGTGAGGAAGTTGAGCAGGTGGAAAAGCTCCTCCAGGTTGTTCTGCAGAGGAGTTCCAGTGAGCAGCAGCTTGTGCTGCAGAGGATAGTTGTTCAGCACCCGGAAGAACTGCAGCGGAGAGACGTGGTCACAACACAAATACGTTTACATGTCAGACGCGTGGGTAAACAAACGTTCCCTGAAGGCACCTTCGACTGGTTGTTCTTCAGCCTGTGGGCCTCGTCCACCACCAGACAGGCCCAGTCTATGGAGCCCAAGATGGCCATGTCAATGGTGATCAGCTCGTAGGACGTCAGCAGGACGTGGAACTTGATGGACGAGTCTTTCTGTTGGGCCAGAACGGAACAAGCTCAGCGTTTCTCTTTCACCCGGAACCACGGACGCAGCGCGGACACTCACCTTCATCCTGGAGGCCTTCTTCCCTCCTCGGATGGCGTTGTCCTCGAAGGAGAACTCGTTCTCCCTGATGACGGCTCGGCTGTCTTTGTGGCCGATGTACGTCACCACGTACATGTCCGGGGCCCACATCTCAAATTCTCGCTCCCAATTAATGATGGTGGAGAGAGGAGCGCTGACCAGGAACGGACCCTTGGAGTGACCCTACGGGGAAATAAAGTACGCGTGTAACTTCTTTCTTGAACAAGCGGCCAAATCCTAAAACCATTTCTCAGTCCAACCGAGTAAAAGTGAAGGATTACTGAAAGTAGAAAGCCCCAAACCAGTAAAAACAGGATGCAACGACGTTATTTGTGCAGTTCCACCTTAAAAACCTGCGCAGCCTTCTACGTTTGTGTCTTGTTGCTTAAAGCAGACCGACAGCTGCGCTCTGCTCCAGCGTGTGGTTAAACCACCAAAGCGAGCTCCAGGATGCCAGGAGGCTTCACCGGGAGGCGCATTCTAACCTCCCACCTCTAGGTGGCAGAAGCCACTCACAGGAGCCTCCTGATTGTTTCCAGATCCACCTTAATGTCACCTGATTGATACAAAATGGCTGGATGCCTGCGGACCAGCCGGAGCAGACAGAAACCGGACTCTTTCCTCGCCAATTCATGAAAACCAGGACGTTGGTTCATTTAAAATCTGAAACGTAGAAAAGCAGCAAAGAGACTAGTTCACCTCCTTGTACAACGAGTAGAGGAAGACGGCGGTCTGGACCGTCTTTCCCAGGCCCATCTCGTCGGCCAGGATGGTGTCGGTGCCCTGAGCCCAGGAGAACCGCAGCCAGTTCAGCCCCTCCAGCTGGTAGGGGTGCAGCGTGCCCCCGGTGCTGTCCAGGTAGTCCGGCTGGCGCTCAAACTTCATCGTCGGCTGGAAGCCAAACCCAGGAAGAGATCTGAACTCAGACTCGTTCGTTCGTTCGTTCGTTCATTTGTGTTAAAGTCAAACGGAGGTGCTTACGTCGATCACCGGGTTCTCGGGAGGCCTCTCCGGTCGCTTCAACCTCCCCTTCACCTTGATCTTCCTGCCTGGCCTCCCATCCTCTCCGATCATCAGCTCTCTGAAACACATCGGTCCGGTCAGCGGAGCGCCGTTAGAGGGCGGAGCTTGTGTCAGCGTTGAGCGGAGCCGGACTCACCTGTGGTTCCAGTACTGCTGCTTGTAGGTGTCGAAGTCGGGTATGTCCATGTCCTCGGACTCCCAGGTGGCCTGGTCGTACGGCAGCTCTCTCCACTTGATCAGGTAGTGGACGTTGTTCTTCCGGTCCACGCTGGAACCACAGCAGACAGAAACGCCTTCAATCTACTGGAAAACCCCATCCACCAACTTCCTGGTGTTTGGCCCTAGTCCTAGCGGGTTTGTGGCGGTTTTATTGCATCGATGTGAAACCAGCGTGACCTCTGACCTGTGGTTCAGGATGCGGTGGATCATCAGCCACTCCATCTTGATCCCGAAGCGGAGGTATTTCTCCTCCAGCTGAACGAACGTGGGATCTTTGTGCTTCCGCTTCACGCACTTGTCCTCCTCCCCGTCGCCAAAGTCGACGGGCGGCGGCTCGTCCATGTCGGTCTTCCTCTGGTAGATCCTGAACAACACCTGGCAGTGCATCTCCAGCTGCGCGGGACAAAGACGGGTTAGGACGCCGCCCAGCGACCAGGAGGTGTTTTACCTGAACTCGTACGCACCTGCAGCTCGCTGACCCAGGAGCAATGCCAGTATGACAAGTTGCACCATTTGGCAAAGAACTCCCTCTCGGAGCGCCCTGCAAGAGGAGCGGGATCGGGAGCGTCGGTCGCGAGGTCTGGAGTGCGGGGGACGGGTGTGGGGGGAGGGGCGTCCCCCCACCTCCACGTTAGGATCTTCTGCACTTTCCCCTTTAAAGCTGGACACTGCAACAACAGCAGAGGATTACTCAGCTCTGCTTTCTCATAACCAGGTCACAATTCCCACGGAAGTCCCGCTCACCGTGCAGCGGGGGCAGATCCACTCGCCGTTGGGGATCTCGGGCAGCGGGGGGTTGAGACAGTGGATGTGGTAGGACGAGGGACACGAGTCGCAGCAGAGGAGCTCCCCTCCGTCTTTACAAACCCTGCAGAACTCCATGTGGTGGTCGTCCTCCTCCATCTCTCCCACGTCGCCGTTGTCTTCCTCCCCTTCGGAGGCGTCCTCTCTAGCTTCCCACTGGATGCCCTCCTTCTCCTGGAGGTCAGGGAGAACAAGAGTTGGATTAAAACCCCACAGCGACGCTCCCGAACCTCCATCCCTCCCAGCAGGCGCCTTACGCAGTGCGGGCAGCTCCAGGTGCCCTCGGGCGCCTTCTCCATGTCGGGATCCAGACAGACCATGTGGTACGCTCTGGGGCAGGTGTCACACAGGATGATCTCTCCACCCTGCTGACACACCTCGCAGTAGTCCTGGTGGTCGGTCTCGTAGCCGTCGCCGTCTTCTGCTTCTGGAGGCAGAAAACAAAAAAGCTTTAACGCGCCCCGGGCGGTGGGAAATCCACCTCTCTCCTCAGGAGTTCAGCTTTTCCCTCGAGGAAAAATAAAACCCAGCAGATTTAAGTGGATGCAGCAACAAACAGGATTATAAAGACAGTTTTCCAAAGACTAAACGGAGTCCAACCAGGAAGATCGCTGCGACATCGTTGGGATTTTGACGTCTTCGGTTGCAGAAGCAACGGAGGACGACAGCCCAGAGGAGGTTGGACTTCTAAATACACCACAGTGACTAGTGTGTGAGTGTGTGTGTGTGTGAGGGGTTGTGTCGACTAGTCGACTAGTCGACTTCACCGCTCTATAGTGACTTTTTAAGCCTGTCATCGACTAGTCGCTGTCACGTGATAATGACCGGCAAGATGCAGTCCACGGAAAAGACAGCAGCCTGCTGTCAGCAGGTGACAAGCTCCTGCGCGTCGGGAGGCGACGTGCTGTGCCAGAGCGTCGGTACTGACACCCGCCGTAAAACGGACATTTGACGGAATTGTGACCTTTACCCTCTTGCAATTTAACCTTCCCCTCACCCCCATCCTAACCTTAACCAGCATGCGCATGCAAAGCTCTGATCGCTGACGCGCTCCAGACGTCTGCGTCCTGAGCACGGCCACAGTAACATCAAATCAGGTGTTGCCACCTCAAAAACTAATTTAACACGCGATCTTTCATGTCGGCTCATTTCCTTTTATGTTTTCTGTCTTTTATTCTTTTATTTGTGCCTGATGCGTTTTGCTGCTGTGGAGCGGAGCGCATCACCTGTTTTGTCCTCGGTGACGCACCTAACTGATGCGGTCGGCGAGCAGCGGCACTCCGCTGTTTTTGCGGTCGGTAGATCTTTAAGAACTGCAGTTCAAAGGTAACTCATGAGGTGAATATATATGAACCCAGGTAGCAGTTTCTCTTTAGGACTGAGAGGAGATGCAGGAACAGGGTATATACAGCAATCCTTAAGTAAAATTTACTACTTTTTAATACTTTTTTTTACTACCTTCAGAATTTTTTTAAAACCATCACAACACTAAATTGCAAGTGTTAATCAGCGACCTATTTACACATATTTTAACATATATAACATACAAAAAGCATAGACTTAGAGACTCACTGATGTTGACAACGTATTACACATATTTATTTTACTTAGAAAATAAGCCAGGCACTTCTTTTCAGCGGTTCAGACATTTGACCACGAGGCCTGAAATGATGCAGAACGACCACTGAATATGACGTCATCATAATGTGACCGGATATGCTAAAGTAGGGCTGCTCGATTATGGCGAAAACAATAATCACGATTATTGTGACTGAAATTGAGATCTCGATTATTTAAGACGATTTTTCAATTTATGTAGATTTTTTTAATTTATTTTTATTCAGTCATAAAACTGCTCAGGGCACAATCAGGACAAAATTAAATAAGAAACAAGATGATCACTAAAATAACTCCTGATTCCCAGTATAAAAAGACCAATATACTTATAGCTCATAGTTTATGACCCAAGGGCTATAGACCTTGGTTTAACTCATTTAAGTCTAACCCGTACAGACCCAAATACCAATATCTTGCAAATACTGACAGCAAGAATTATACAGTGGCATTTATAACAAATAAATGCAAATAAATTGATGTTCACAAAATGTTACATAACATTTATTGAGTCGTGTCAAGGTGCTGTAGGAGAGTGCACTAGCACCGTGTCCTCAGAGAGATTAGTTATTATTTATCAGCGTGAGGAACTTATTTCTACCTTATTTATAAACTATTTATTTACAAGTCCATCAGTTAATGTAATAATTGTCCCAACCACAGCTGCACCCCCCCACCCCCCAACCCCGGTCTCACAACAATCAGGGGCAAGCTGCATGTGTGTTTAGCGCGCCGCACGCGCACATTTAGCCGTTTTTAGTGGCTCAGGAGACCGCAGGTGCGGTGTGTGTGTCACTCACTCTGGTTACACCAACAGGGAGCCGGCTCCGAGAGCTGTTTCTTTAGCGACTGACACATCACTACATCATTCCCTTTCCTAATGTCCTGAAGAACGGTCCGGAGCACAGGCGGAGTGTTTAGCTAACCTGCAGGAAATGTCGACGATAGTTATCCAGAAAGTAGCTAAGGGTTACCAGAGATGTTTCTGAGGTGTTCGCCAGGTACTTTTAAGATTTAAAAAGTCAAGAAGGGGGTCTGAAAAGCTGTTAGAAATAGCATCAAAGTCGCCAAGTTGGCAACGGAGCGCTTCATTTGTAACTCAGGGCAGCTCAAGTGGGAGGAGCAAATAATCGGCTTGTTTTATTTTTATAATCGTTCAAAACATTTCATTCGGAATATATTTCTATGTCGATGTTCAGAATACGACACCTGATAGTCTGAAAAAAATAATACCTAACTTGGAAAAAATAATACCTCTGAGACCAAATTTAACACTTTTAATGGCCTTAAATTTGACTATTTTTATTTATCACTTTTTAATACTTTTTAAAACCCCGCGGACACCCTGAGGAAGATAATAAACAGGCAGGACAGAAAAATAGTCAAATAAAAACAAGTTAGTTTTTGTACCTGCTGGTTGCAACAAACAGACACCATTGAAGGTAATCAGAAGTGAAAATGAAATAATTATTGAAGCAGGATGCAGAAACGTTGTTAAAAGAGAGGTTTAACTTAGAAAATGTGGGCGGGCGCAACTTTAATAGTCAAAAACTCGAGCGAACCAAGCCACAGCGGCCGCTAGCGAGACTCCTGCTACGGAGGAAAACCAGAACTCACCTTTCTTCTTTTTGGGTTTGTTCTTCAGGGCCTTCTTCTTGCTGCGGCTGCTGCGGCTGTTGGAGCTCTCCGACACCGAGATGCTGTTGATGCTCCCGCTCTCAAAGTCGCTGTCCACGTCCGGCTCGTCCTCCTCGCTCTGAAGAGGAAGACAAACAAGCGCGTTAGGGCGCTCCTCCTGAGCGGCGCGCGGACGGTCCTCGGAGACGAGGGCGGTCGTACCGACGAGCGTTTCCTCTTGCTGCTGAAGCCTCCGAGTTTGATTTTTAAAGGTGCAACCTTCTTTGTTTTGGTGTTATTCTTCTTCTCCTGAGGCTTCGGGGTGGGCTTGGACCTTCTGCGAGCGTTGGGTCCTGCAGATTAAAAAAACGTTAAAATTTAAGGAATAAGCGTAATTTTAATATTAAAACAGAAACATGGGTGCTCTTGTACCTTTGCCTTCCTTGGTCTTGGCCTTGCGGAGGGGAGGTGCAGGGGTCTGCACGGGCTCAGGGGGGGGCGGCGGGGCCACCTCTGCCACCATGTTGTCCACAGCAGCAGAGACGTTGGCGGTGGCCAGGGCGGCGTTGGCGGCAGCGGCACCTCTCAGAGGGTTGTTGGTGCTGAACTCGCGCCACTTGGCTCCCAGAACCATCATCATCTTAGAAACTGCAATCTTCGGGTTCTTGGCTGCAATGAGGGGTCTGAGGAGGACAGGAAGCGTTTTGTTTTCTCACCACGTTTGTTTTTGTAGCTTCAGACTCCAAGATGCTGGTGATGAAAGCAGAAGCTCACCTGACAAACTGGCTGAAGGCTTTGTAGTTGGTCAGGGAGCGGTAGTCTTCCTCAGTGAAGACGTGGTCGATGTCCTCCATGCCCCAGTCGTCCAGCAGCTGAGACGACGACTTTGGCTCCTGCAGGAGGACGAGTTCGGCGATGAATCAAACAAAACAGCAGAAAGATTCAACAATCGCTGCGGAGAGACTGAGAAAAGCATCCTGGACCCGAAGGGTTTTACCCAGAATGCTCCTGGCTGACGAGCCCTCCTGTGTGACCAACGTTCGGGATGCTCCGCTAAATAAAAGCGTTTGATGAGATGCTCTCGTTTTTACCGGAGTCGTTTTCCCGGGAGGATTAAGGCGTCGTGTGACCTCAGCGCCGCGGCAGACGCCGGTTCGTGAGAAATAACAGGCGATGGTCGGGATTCACACATCAACACGATGAAGAGCCTCTAAAGTCAGCAAACGGCTTTCCTAATCGACACGGACCCACACGTTTTCTAAGGCAGCTACGCCAAATTGCTCAACGATATCTGACCCGTTCTGGAGGCCGAACAGCTGATCTCACCAAGAACTTCTGCCTCCTTCATGGTGACGAGTTCCACATGTAGCGTTCCAGATTTTTCTGCTGTTTTCATTTCACTCCAATCGTTTTTTTTTCCCACCTAAAATCCAGTTTGGCTCCGTTTTTGGTGCATAGATGACAGAACTTCTTCCATGAGCCAGGATCGATGAACCACCCGTTAACAACAAGTTTAGACCAAAGATGACTGAAAAACACCCATCAGCTCTTGAAATTTGTCCAAATTTGCTCAAATATAAAAATAAAGATATAAAAATGTCTCAAGAAGCCGAAGTAAAGCCGACCTTTCATGACCTTACTCCAGACCGGCTGCAGTAATGTGGGATTTGCTGATTTTTAGTATAAATATAATCTGTTTATGTCTAAGTGGGGCTCCCTAGGTGTTTCTTGGGGGTGAACAAAGAGGCAGACTTGAGCCTACGGGTAACAAAAACCAGCTTCCTCTGACGGAGGCCACCCTTTGTCTCAACAACAGGCTGCAGACCGAAGTAACAACGTTTCTGCCAAAGAATTAAAAATGTGTTTATGCAACAAAAAAGGAAAAAGGGTCAAGTGCTGCACTGGGATCACCATGGTAACAGCACATTATATGCAGATCTTACACACCCATCCCTGACTTACACACCCCGCTGCACCCCCTCCCCCTCCCTTGCATAACTGTCTTTAACAACGAGGCCCCCTATTGGCTGCCGGGCTCTGAATCCACCAGACACGGCTCTTTTGTTCGGCGTCGCTCGCATCACACGTGTTTGTCAAATGTCCATTACAGTCAGGCAGATCCGTCAGAAAAACTTCCTTTTCCACCCTAAAGAGTAAACGACTAACCCTCAGCAGCTCCCCGAACCCCTTTAGGGTGGTCCTACCAGCACCGCTCCAACTGTTCAGGTGGTTTTATAACTAATCCTGACTTTAATTCATCCATCATGAACATTTCTGACAAAATACTCGAAAAATAAAGCTTGAACTGAATGGGATGCATTTTTTACAGCTTTTTCATGTGGCTTCCATCTTTTTCCACGGTTACGGAGCTTCTACCAGAAATGTACGAGTAAAACGATCCAGGTCACGTTTATGCAAAGATATTTAAACCTTCCAGGTTTCTTTCCACGTCTCACCAGATAAACAAATCCTAAAATTCTCACGGAATAAAAAAAAAAGCCAGACTATCAAACCCGGGATTAGTTCACAGGGATAACATATGAACAAGTACTCTCATCGATCCAGAAATCCCATTCTTGTTCAATACAGATGTTTTCTTACCGAGCTATCATCGTCGTCGTCGTCTTCTTCGTCCTCCGGTTCCGGTTCTTTCCTTTTGGACGAGCTCCGCTCGACTCCGGCGCTGCCCCTTTTCTTTTCCTTGCTGCTGCCACCTTTCTTCTTCTTCTTGCGTCCCGGCGTGTAGTCGCTGCCCTCGCTCTCGGAACGCTGGGCGGAGATGCCGTCCTCTCCGTCCTCCACTCCTCCGATGTCCATGGGCTCTGGAGAGCTGAGAGCTAGCTCCTGGTACAAAGAGAACAATAAATAAATAAATAATCGGTAAATAATGTCCCGATTGCTCTTTAAATGTCATTATGATGTTGTTGAGGACGGCTCAAGTTTTTCTGATGCCACTCACCTCTCTGCGCGACCGCCTCTTGCTCCCCTTGCTCTCTCGGCTCTTCTTGGCTTTTTTCTTTTTCTTCTTCACCTTCGGACACTCGTTCTCCGAGATCTCCTCTTCCTCCTCATCTGTGAAGCAGACCACCAGAGTGAACACCGGCTGGCGGCGTGTCAGCACATTCAGGCCGTGTGACCATTACTTAACAACGAGCTCCGACAATAACTCGTATATCGTACGTGTACACTTGCAGATCCTGATAGGAAACAAGCCACCAGTCACGTGATTGTTATCTCTGCTTAGCTCTGGACAGAGTTTAATTTCCCCACTAACCAGACCGGTCAACAAAAACACTTTCCTGGCCAAATGAAAGCAGGCGTGAGGGTGGCGGCATCCAGAGAAGCTGTACAAGGAGAGGATAAACCCCCTGGTCTAACTTTGTGTCCCATTTTACAAGAACTCCTGAGGGAACATGATTCTAATCAATGCTCTGGTAGCTAAAACACTAATTTACAGCTGATTAGTCAATATGATTCACTGCAGTCCTGCAGGCCTTCTAACGAAGCATCTCCATCCAGGATGTGCCTCTGCTGCACCGACGCTCACAGCCTTTCACTGGAATTGGCCAAAACTTAACAGTAAACGAGGATTCGCCCTTAAGATACACCTGGTTAGAAAAATTAAGTATTTAGGGAACAAGAGAAAGTGAGCAAACTCACAGAGAAGAAATACATGATATTAAAACATGACACCTATTTTGCTAGAAAACATGAGCAGAGTGGCTGTACAATACTTTTAGGGAAATCCTGTCTTGAGACATCAGAAAATCAACTTTTAATGTAAATAATATCAGTTTTAGTTCTATTTGACATTTTATTTTCCTAAAAGTTGATCTATTGGAAACAAATGCGCTGAAACATGATGTCTGATCAGCTAAAATCCTACAAAACTATCTCCAGCCGCATTTCATCCCTTATAAAATGACTAATAAACATAGCATTAGCTCTTTTTATGCTTGAAATATGTTTATATGCAATAGGATACTTAAAATTTTGCATGGATGCCTTAAAAATGATTAAGCTAATCCAAAAATGCAAATATGGTTTTAGTCCATTTTTACATTATTGTTCCTTTAACAGCTTGAAAGTCCGATTTAGATGTTAGCTTCTGAATAAAAACGCATTTATTAGGTTGGTTTTATTACAGACCCGCATCAGAAGGAACGGCAGTGTCACACCGTGTACTATGTGCGTGCTCGCCGTTTTTAGCTAATTGTAAACAACGCACCCTTTTACCACAACACCACCTTCAAAGACACGGGTACGTTAAACTTTATTCTGGGGAAGTGTGTTAGTATTTCGCGCTTTTTCTTATATTTTTTGTGCACTTTTTGCCTCCCACAGTTAAACCGAAGGCGCCGGCGATGAGGAGGGGAATTATCCTGAACGTCATCCGCCAGCTTTCAAGCTAACTGGCTGCCTCCTCCATCTTGTCATAGACACGTAAAATATACCGGTAGCTGGCTAACGTTAGGCCCCGGGAACATGCCGGTTTGTTGGCGTGACGGCACCACACTCCCACCATCCGCCTTAAACCCGCTTATTATGGTTGGAGTAAAACAAATTAGCTTCTCTAAAATGTGTTTGATAGCGAGTTTGCTAACGGAAGCTACCGAGTAGTTAGCCGCATCCACGAGCTAGCGCTAAGCTAACACAACGTGATTGATGTGAATGTCAAAAACATCTGCTAACACAAGCAGCTAACAAATGAGCCGCATATCTTACCGTGCATTAGGCGGTCGTCGGCGGCTTCGTAGTCCTCTCTGTCATCTTCACTTCCAGACATAGCGGACAGCAGGAAACTTTCTTTTTAGTTAGCTAGCAATGTAGCTAACCAAATAAAGTTAATATTTTGGGATAATCCAGAGTCCAGTCTAAAGTCTGCGTTCAAATCGCAGAGGGAGAGCCAGCCAGGTTTAATAGAAACACAAAAGAAAGCGGAAGTGGATTATTAGGAGCAAAAAGAGCAGCGATGTAAAGCACAGAAAGACATCAACACATGGGACAAAAACCTAACTTTCATCCAGCTATTTGGGACTTCCAACATTTTATCTCCTGCACTCACTCCATCTCAGCTGACATCTTGCCACTATCGTTACTTTAAGACCCATTAGCATGCGTGCTAACCGAGCCGAGCTAACCCGGTGGGAAGATTTGGGTTTGAGACAGAAGCGAGTGGACTGTTTTCTACAAATAAAAACGACAACCCGAGGCTTGCTCGTCCGAACTCGAGCTAATTCACAAACCCAAAACTGATATACTCACAACTTGACTCCAAAAACAGTAACTCCACGCGCAGTTTGCCGGTTAGTCAGTACTTGGAAGGTCTTTTTTTCCCCTTAGCGTAGCGGTGTGCGCACAATTTAGATATATTTCTGTGATTTTTGTGCCAGCGTGTGCGCACGACGCCGTCTCCTCTTTCTCTTCCTCGCGCGCGCACACACACAAAGAGATCAGGGGGCAGGCATCCCATAATATTCCCCCCACACACACACTCATGCACACACTCATACATACATACACTTCACTCGGCCCCTCCCCCACTCTGCATAGTTACCTTGCAACGTACAGACCATAATACTCAACTCACCCCCCCCCCCCTCTACAGTCTCTTCCCCATTCCTCCATGCACATCCCCCCCCCCCCACACACACACACACACACCTCCACCCCTCTCTTAGCAACCACTGTTGCTATGGAGACGCTATCCCCTCCCACTCCTGTGTGGCATCCCATAATAGTAACGAGTGCAGTCACTGACATCCCACAATAAGCATAACTCCAAAAAGAGAGAGATAGGAGAAAGGAGGGGTGAAAAAAGGAAAACGTGCTCACATGGCAACTGTGTATGCCACATGACTGCTCTACTTGAGTGTGCGTGTTTGCATGTATGCGCAGGCACTCTTGTGAGCGTGGCTCCTAATGACTGCGTGGGATGCTGGCGATCCGGGGAGCTGGGGTGCACCTTCAAAGCACACCTGGGGTCACAAAAAGTGGGGTGACCCTGGCGTGACCTTTACATGAGGCCTTATGAGCTCAAACATGCATCCCTCAGCATGAGAGCAACTTTTTTTAGTCACTATGCACATGGCGACCCCCCAAAAACTTGGCAGTGAAAAAATCTCAAGAGAGGAGAGAAGTCACAATGGTCCCTCCTGTGGGGACAACAATAGGAGGTCACTGGGGTCAAACGGCAGTCGAAACATTTCATGTCTGCAGCCGGAGGTATCCTCTGGAAAGTCGCCGCTCAGACGTGCAAGGCAACAGCTGAGTTAAGCTGTCTGCACACATGCACATGCTGGCGTGCTCCACAGGCTGTGAGGAAATGCATTGCAGTCAATGGTGGGAAAAACGTCTGGGTCCTAGACAGCTTTTTTCCCACCATTGACTGACTGTAATACATTTAGACTGTGGGGCGAAATTCAGAACTGCTTGAGCTTAACATGGCAGAAAAGCTCCGGAATGATACTTCACCACATGGGAAATCAGCTATGTGTGTGTCTGCTAATGATCCAGGGCCCTAGGGAAAATCTGAGTTCGTTATTTTCTGTAAAGTTTAACTGTGGGACAAGTTAATTCTGCACATCACGCACAAGTCACCAGAAAAATGCAATGTGTGGTAGTTATTTATCTTTAACACATATTTGTGTGACCAAAAATAATTGAACACAGTGATTGTCAAGTGGTGGCCCTCGGGCCATTTGAGCTTATGTGCTATGTGACACTTAGCATAATTTAATGCAAGGGTCAGTTATAGCTAAGCTCAGAGAGGGTCAATGACTGCAGTACTTCAGCCAATTAGAGCACTCGCTCACAGCAGACAACCAGGTCAACCACATGTGGGAACGTAGCATTGGGAGGACGTCCAGCTGAGAGCTTATGGGTCAGTGACCTGCCCTGCCCTGCCCTGAGTGTTTAGTAACAGCCAAACCTTTGCTGTAGGACAATAAGAACATTCTGTACCAATGGAAGCTAGATCAAGACAGAATCCCGGGGTGAGGCGGGGTTGGGGGGTATCCCATTTTTTGGTGAGGTTGAACTAGTTTGCCCTTCAGACTTTAGAGGCACACTTCAGATATCTGAGATATGGGTTGAAGTGAGTATCTCACTGGATTGCAACTGTTTGTACTAATCAGCAGGGGTGGACTGGCCTGTCTGGCATTCTGGCACTGTCCCGGTGGGCCGCTTAGCCAAGTGGGCCTCCCGCCCAGCTTGGGCCGACACAAACCCCCAGCGCGCACTCCCGCTACTCCCGCATAGAGACTAGTCCGGCAAAGCCCCCCACGGTCTCACATTCCGCAAGACAGACGAGACCGTGAGCCCCACACACACACACACACACACACACACATTTCTTGAAGTTCCCCACCTGTGAGCGCCAACGCAAATGCCAGGACCGATTTTTGGTCCCAGTCCACCCCTGCTAATCAGAGAAACGAAACAGCACTTTTTTAGTTGGAATTACTTGGTCCAACACATTTGTGACAAACTTTATCTAGGCATGGGTCACGTTTGACATCTGACGTAATTGCAACGTCACTGTGACACTTCAGTTCAGTTGTGTGTCAGTCGTGCAAATTTTCCTCATGTGATTTAGTCACAAAGTCGCCAACCCTCCCACAGTTGTCTCACATTTTCCAAACTTGCCGACTTAGGAAAACTAAATTAGTAAGCGTTGCAAATGACTCCATAGCCTATTTCATAAGACACCATGCTGGACAATCTTGGTAATATCACTGCCACAGTGTGTCTTAAGAAAGTGCCGTGGTGGCATGGCGTGGCAGAAACATTGTGGCATTAGTGCCACCAAGCTTGATAGTATTAGCGCAACAGCGGTCTTCTGAATGAAGATCACCTTCGTGCAACAAATGGTGACGTCATGATCATGTGTGGAATGTCCGCCGAGCCCCGCCCAGCAACAATATTGAAAATGTAAGTAAACAGGGTCAGTTTTGCATTCAACAGTATTGACTGTGAGATCAAACTGGAGCGACCAAGGGGACTGTGAAGGACAGCCACCTTTGGAGCGGCTCATGAAAAAAACGTAAAGAATGTGGCTTTAAACGGCATAAAAAATCTGTTGCGTCCAATCTAAAAGGACGCCCGAGACAGCGTGTCAACAGCACGGAGATTATCTTTACACCCCCTTCTTTATCGCAATCATGTACTCATTTGTGAAAAACGTGAATGCGCCACAATACTGCCACAGGCCGAGCACTTATGAGTGACCGGAGGTTTCCCGATGCCGCCTCAGCTTTGCGGCAAAGTGGCACCATCAGGGGCGGCGTTAGGCCCGGCTACTTGGGCTGAAGCCCCGAATGTTTCATGAAAAGCCCCGGATCTAAATCGCGGAAGTAACATGCAGTACCAAAGTCCAACAGAGAGGGAGCAGCTGGCAGTAGTTTGTATACAGCCTGCCTGAGCCTCCACCACTGAAGAAGAAGCCCTTCAGCAACCGGCTTCTTCTACACTCTCTGCCTGAAACGCATGAGTGAAGATGGACATAAGGACGATTTTTAGACCAAAAGTACAACGACAGAACCCCAGCTTTGATGAGACTGGTGTTGACTCAGGTTTGCGAGTCTTATTTGAAAATATTTGTTGTGCTGCTGGTTTGCCTAAAGTTAGCTTACTATCAGGTAAAGTTGTTGGAGAAAGAAAGGGAATATTTACTATCATCTCACACTAAACACTAACAGGAACAATACTCTGCCCTGAATATGCTTAATATGTAGCTTCAGATTAAAAATTATGTGGTACAAGACAAATATGATGTTGACTAGTGCGTGCCACGTGTGTGTGCGCGCGTGCATGTGTGTGTGCGCACGCGCGTGTTAAGCCCCGGATCTTCTTCAGTCCTAAATCCGCCCCTGGGCACCATTTTTATATGAAAGAAAGTCATGCCTATTTTGAGAGAACATGTTCCTTGCAATAAAAAAAAATCATGTTCAAAAGACCTTGCAATTCACTCAAGGTAATAAAGAACCATCAAGTGTGTTTCAATTCCCTCTGGAATGTTGTTGGTAATTTTTCACCAACAGTCGCAGCCTTGTGAGATACTGGCATGAAGCCAAACTCCACTTCACCCAATCTCCTGGCTTATATCTGCTTCCACACCTGTATCCCATGCATTTTGTGCCATAGGTATTTAGGGCTAGGACTATCCTACCCTTTCATAGAATATTGTATTAACAGAGATAAGAGGTGCTCGAATACAAAGAAATACTCAAATAGAAGCACGTTTTTCATTTAAACCAATTTGAAAAGCTTCTCGATGTCTAGTTTGATGTGTTTACATAGTCAATCTTTAATAATGATACTGTTGATGCATGTCACAATTTGCAGCGTTGGGTATACAGTTGGTAGCACCGTTTCACTGCAGCATGAAGGTTTCTGTATCGCTGGAGTTGGCATGTTCTCCCCATGCATGCATGGGTTTACTCTTGGTACGCCCGTCTCTTCCTAGAGAAGAAAACCACGAAATCTTAGGTGAATTGGCAAATTATCCATTTGAAATTCACATATTTAAAAGTGAATTAGCAATAACTGAAGGTACAGTATACTGTCTTCTTGAAGGGGTGCTAGATTTTTTATAACCACTATCGCACAAGATATTGAATGAAGGACCAAAGATAGATGTATAGAAGTGTTGTCCCTTCCTGTTTGTTTAGGCCACTCTCCTGCACGAATTAGATGGTTCCAACCAACCTTACCATTGGGTAAATTATGTACTTGATATGTCGAGTATGGCACAAGGACGTATCGAAAACATGCAGTCAATTGGCCCTACAGTGCTGGGTTGGATTAATTCTTATTAGAATGCCTAGCTGTTTGCTGGGGGTTTCCTCTGGTTGAGCATGCTTTATATGACTGATTGTTGAGGGAAGAAGGAAAGATCCTGCAGGATGTATTTAATGTCAAAATGCAAACCACAGTAACTGCATTATTTTCCCTAAACACTGGTAACATTATCAGGCTGTTTTCATCTCTAGAGGACCCACACCTCACAAATTATTCATGCCAGCATATTGTCGGAGTGCCCTAACTCTTTGGCTTTTAACCCTCGTCAAGCTGTCTTCCCGGGTTTTTCTTCCTTTTTTCCCCAGAGGGCTCCAACTCTCCACTGTTGCCTTACAACCTCCTCTGACTCAGCACACCTTCAGTCAGTCTCTCTTTGTCCACTCACTCATTTTGTTTTTCTTACATGTGCCCAAACAGCAAAAGACCTAAAAAAAACTTCTCCAGATTTCTTTTCTTTCCATCTTCTCTGCTAATCATCTTCCCTCCTCCCCCACACCTCTTTTTCTTGACTATGGACGCCATGTTTATGCGTGAATTTGAAGAGATGAGGGGGTAGGGTGTGTGTGTGTGTGTGTGTGTGTGTGTGTGTGTGTGTGTGTGTGTGTGTGTGGAGGGGGGGGTAACATCCCATAATCACCAATCAGAAGGATGCCAGGGACAGTTGTCATAGTAACCTCGTGCAAAGGTCTTGATGCCACTCCCACATCCCCCTTTCACCACCACCTCCACCATGTTCACAGAATTGCATATCTCATAATTATAATAATATCATTTCTGAGCCAAAAAGGCAAAAGGAGGGGGTGGAGGGGGGAGGCTACAGACCATAATAGTGCTCCTGTGCTGCTAGTTGCCATGGAGATAAGCAGAGGGGTGGTGGTGGTGGTGACAGAGGGAGGAGGGACACAGGCAGGGTCAGATTACCATGAAAGTAAAAATGCATACCATAATATTCATTGACCGCCGCCCGCCCCCCCCCCCCCCCCCCCCCCCGGCGTCCTGCCCTAAAGTCCACGCTTTGAAGCTGCACCAAATAAAGTGCAAACAGATTTGATAAGCCCCAACATGTCTGCCGTGTCAGATAACACGCGGCGGCGGGAGGGGACAGACGGAGAAACAAAACAATAAAAAAAGATGAGATTTGTACGCCAGGGTCGTCCGAACGTCCTGAAGACTCGTGAGCTCGAGTTCCGAATGACTCTTTCATCCCTCCAACCATCACTTGTGTCATTCTTCCAGATGAATGACAGTAAAGTCATAAATATTTACAGTTTCGCTTGACTGGTTATTTACCTATAAGCAGAAACTAAATTAGCCTCCAACACAGGTGCTTTCCCGCTCCATTTAACACTCGTTTCAACAGTCTGGCCGGAGATATCTAGCTGTAATATCTCGAGTCATATAGATTCTTTTATATGAACGCAGCTTTAGCTCTTTTTTTCACATTCACTCCCTAATTCTTGTTCTTCTGTCAGATGCTGCTATTTTTTCTCTGAATTGCTTCAGAGCACCATGAATATTTTATTCAACTACATCTTGACCTGATTGCAGCCTTTACAAAGATTTTGTTATGCTTCAGCTCCTTTACAACTTTTTAGGTAAGGTGGATGGTCTTTACTTTTTCCAGCAGTGACAGGACTTTCAGAATCAGAAGCAGAATCAGGTTTATTGCCATTGTCAGTGAACAAACAGTTCACAAACTAGGAACTTGCTTCGGTACTAATGTGCTACATATAACATGAATAATCAGATTAAAATAGAATAAAATATAATAAAAAAAACTAGAATAAAACTTTCAGCTATAAAAAAAGGCAGGTAATGGTAACATGGCCGATAACGTGACGTTATGTCAAGTACCGAAGACGAGCATGGTTGTGTGTTTATAATCTATTCACAAGTCTAACGGCAGATGGAAAGAAGCTGTTCTTATGGCGAGAGGTTCTGGTCCGGATGGACCGTAACCTCCTGCCTGAGGGAAGCGGCTCAAAAAGTCTGTGACCCGGGTGCGAAGGGTCAGCTGCTATCCGACCTGCACGCCCCCGAGTTCTGGAGACGTACAGGTCCTGGAGAGATGGAAGGCTGCAGCCAATCACCTTCTCAGCAGAGCGCACAATGTGCTGCAGTCTATGTTTGTCCCTCACCGTGGCTCCAGCGTACCACACAGCGATGGAGGAGGTGAGGATGGACTCAATGATGGCCGTGTAAAACTGCACCATCATCTGGGTCGGCAGCTTGGCCTTTTTCAACTGCCGCAGAAAGTACATCCTCTGCTGGGCCTTTTTGAGCAGGGAGCTGATGGATGGCTCCCACCTAAGGTCATGTGTGATGGTGGTTCCGAGGAAGCGGAAGGAGTCCACAGTGGTGACGGAGGTGTCCGTCAGGACGAGGGGGAGAGATGGGACTGTTACTTTTCTGAAGTCCACAATCATCTCCACTGTCTTCTGAGCATTGAGCTCCAGGTTGTTGCTGCTGCACCGGTACACCAGCCTTTGGGATTATTCATGGAGTTCCATAAGGTTTCACTAACCAAGGAGTCAACAGAGGATGCTTCAACATTTAGAAAAATTAAGATCTACCTATGAATTTCTGTTTTCATGTATTTCATAATGAATGGTTGAGGTAAAGATGGTTGGCAAAAACAGACACATCATATAACGACGTGTCATCATCAGCAGAGTGACGTTGGGCCCAGGACTGAAGAAACCTGATTTAAATGCCTCAGCTGTAAGATTTTAGGCAAGGACAATCCCTTGTGAATTTAGCTTCACCGTTGTCTCAGTCGTGTATCAATCATGTGACAGAGACGTATTTCTCTGTTGTGTTGTTTAATTAAAGACTGGAAGAAGAAGCATAAAGGAGAACCAAGGACTGAGCCTTGTGGAACTCCAAAATGTCCCTTTTCCACTTCTACTTGGGCTCGGCTCGACTCTACATGGTCCGGGACGTGTTGTGTGGGCTTCTCAGTGCAGGGTGGCCCCCTGAGTTTGAAAAGCAACACAAGATGATCTATACGCAAAACCAAAACACAGAGATGGAAGACATGATTGCAATGTTTCACCTTCTGCTCAGTGTTTGGCTTTTGTCAGACTTTGAAAAGACGTGGAAAAAGACCGCGGGCAGCAGGTCAGAAGTGTAGGACCGTGCAGGGGACTTCGCCTACTTGTGGCCAACTGTCTCTAACATCATGTTGGTTGCTCTGTACGCTTTCAACCAGTTTTAAGGAATGACAAAAAAAGGCCAACCTGGTACCCGTCACCAGTGGAAATGCCTTGAAACACCACGCCGGTAAAAGAACGGCCATAAGTAATTTTGTCATTTTACGAGTGTCTTTGATTCAGATCAGTTACTTTTCGTGTCCAACTTAACCTGGACGTGAGAGTCTAAATGAAAAATCAACACAGTCTAATTGTTTCTACAATCTTGTTTCTCTCTTTGAGATTTAGCTTTGTGAATTTAAAGAACAGTCGTGTCAATCAGGGCCACACTATCCTGAATGTTTTTGAAAATGTCCTGCTCCAAATCCCAATCCAGATCTTCTGTGCACGTCATCAAGGTCAGAAGAAGCCTGGGATGTCCCGTCTGGTGAAGCTAAGGTGTGCTGAAGCGGGGAACCATCTAGAATATGCAGGACGCTGGGTCCACAGCACCCGGACTGGGGAATGCGGAGAATCTTTGCTTTTAGATTTGTGGTTACAATCCAGGGATGAGGAATGTATTATTCACTTTGCGCAGCCTAGTTTGCATTGAAGTTTTTTGTTTTAATGAATTCCCAGCTGCTGTCTGCCTTTGTGCTGCATCTTCTCTCGACTCTGCTCCCTTTCGGTATTTGCAGATAGTTATTTCTCTGTGCACGTCGGGCTGTGATGTCAGCGCACATGTAGAGGGGTGTGGGGGGAGCCACCACACACAAAAACAGACCAAAACCAGACCAGAATACCCCCTCCCCCACCTGACAAACTAGACATCCCATAATATTCATTCATCCCCCCCCCCCCATCACTTCCTCCTCCTCTTTTCTTCACTTGGCCCTGGCGCTCCATAATAATCACTAATTCCCCTCCCTTACTCTGTCTTTCTGTCACCCCTCCTCCCTCCACCACCACCATCACTTCCTGTCTCATAGGTTCCTCAAGTGCTTCGTACAGTATGCCTCTCCGAATGGCCGCCGCTTAAAAAGGCTCAAAATACCCAGGTTTGCCATCGCTGACGTCTTCATTGCACTTCGTCGAGCCGGGGTTCCTCTCACGCTCCTCCCTCCCACGTCCACCAAGTTCACCGGATTAAAGAAAACACGAGAATCGGCCTGCTGATCTGGTCTGAAAGGCCACAGAAAAAACAAAAAGTGACTCCCACTTTGGCATTTCTGAACCACTTTACTCCACTGGAACCATTACCGTGTCAACGCGTGGCTCCCAGATGTGGATTCATTGATAAAACACGCTAGTTTTGATCTTCATTACAACCTCGCTAATTTCTTACAAAACCTTACTTTGACATGATTTATGAAATGTGTCACAAGCTGTGAGAGAGGCGTCTTTACAGACGGATCTAAACAATTACTCATCAGACGCGAGAAAGCAGACTGTGAACAGAACATCAGAAAGGTTTAATTATTAGAAGGTAACTTCGTTACCACAAGGTTTTTGTGGCTCAGTAAAGAGTACTGGACGATACCCAATATAATAAACACAGGCCTTTAGTACATTGGGCTTTTCTCTACTTTTTTGTGTTTCATTTAGAGTTAAAAGTATTTTTGTGTTGACCTGTTGCTGTGTGGTTCTTGTAAATCATGGATTACACATACATGTGCTTATTAAAGAGCAAGTCACCCCTTACAAGAAGCGTACTTCACTCCCACTTCATGTTTGAAAAATGCAACAAATGCTGTTGCCTAGCAGACCGAGAGGGTGGAGCCACTAACAAATACACACACTCATGACATCATAATGTACCAGTTTACATCATAGCATACCTCTTAGCCAATAGCGGTGGCAGATTTAAATTCAAATGCAGTGCAGAGTTTTTACCTGACAACGGCACAACACTGACAGTTTCAGGCAGAAAATTTAAATTTTAACTAAAATGCACTAAAGTGCAAAACTATTGACGACACGTGTCTGCAGCACGATTAGACACACATTTATATAGTTTATCAGAAAAAAATAGTTGATTTGGGGGTGACTTGCTCTTTAAATATCCAGCTCCAGTTATTAATGTGTCATTTGATCACAGTTTAATTACACATAAATGCTCTGTTATGGAAAAAAATAATATTTATTAATTCTTGATCATGGACTCAATCAACTGAATGTAACATGTATTGCTCCATGTCTTTCTGCATGCCCACTAGTTCAGAACTCACACACACACACACACACACACACACACACACACACACACACACACACACACACACACACACACACACACACACACACACACACACATAATCTCTCTCTCTCTCTTCCATCTCTCCATAAATGAACTCTGTGACAGGGTGTTCGGGGCATTTTGCCTCGTGCATTTTGCCACAGTTATAACTGTTTGACTTGTCTGCTCATTGTCTCCTTCTCTCTTCACTATAGGTAATGAGTTATTGATAAACATACTGATAAAATCCATGACATTATTTGGTCCTTCAAAAGCTGGGGTCCCATCACCTCGCGGCGCCAAGAGCCGACGTCGGAGGACGGTCGACTACCTAATCTCCTCCAGCGCCGAGTTTGCTGGGGGGTCGGTGAGGTCTTGACATCGTTAGGAGGAATGCGGATCCACAAACTCAAGCCCTGAGTGGAGAGATTTGGTGAGAAAAGTTATTTTTTTGTCGCTTTGTCTTGTGGTACCGAGAGAAAATCCTAGGTGACCAGGGGTTAAATTGGTTTTTGGGCATTTTAGCCAGAAAATATAAACGCAAACAGATTCCTGGAATGCTGTTTTGGTGTGGTTGAGAGAGAATGGACCGGTGTGGTTCCTGAGAGGCGGCCCAAGTGAGAGGTGGCCTGGCTTTTGAGCATTTAGCCTTAAATTATGCTTATGTTTATTTATTTGGCAGATGCTTTTATCCAAAGCGACTTACAATTTATAACCTATAGGGCATGTCGTGATGTAAATTGAAACGCAACTCCAGTTGTCCTTGTTGGTTGTGCGGTCAGAGAGAAAGATAAACAGATTCCGGGAATGCCGTATTGGCTTGGTTTTTTGAGCGTTTTTTGCGGGGGGGGGGGGGGGGGGGGGGCAGTGAATTTCACCAGTGTGTGATGATGACTCATGGGAGTTTATAAGAGCTGATGGATCTGTGAATTATTATCAACTACCATATGGAACCACAGTTGTGGCAGCCATCTTTAATGTGCTTGATTTTAAAAGTCAAGTTGTAGATGGACAGCCTTCTAGGAATTAGATGAAAATCACACATGGTGGTAATGATGTCTGTTTTTGAGTCGAGCGGACGTTGTTAAGATTGTTGTATTTCCTTTCATTGTTGGACTTTTCTTCACAAAGTTTGAAGTACTGACAGTTTTGGATTTCTGTGTTCGGGATCAACACTCAAGGAACAAAATAAGATGATCGGCTGTTCAGAATCAGGTTATGAAAAGATAAAACTTGATTTTGAGGTGAGGAAAGAGGATTAAAGTTAACTTAGAAGTCCCTCCTAAAGGCCAGCGTGCGCGCGCGCGCACACACACACACACACACACACACACACACACACACACACACACACACACACACACACACACACACACACACACACACACACACACACACACACACACACACACACACACACACACACCAGCCACCATTTTATCTTACCTTCTCGAATACCTACTCGTGCACTCTCTCAGCCTCTCATGCACTCATTATAAACTTGCACGTCTGTGCAGACACGCACACCCCTCCCCCACCCAACACTCAGCTCAGAACACACACACACACATCAAATTACACATATAGCTCCCCTTCACACACACGAACCCCGTCTTTGCGCACACACACAGCTGTGTGTGCAAAAAACACACAAATGTGTTGCTCCCCTCCCCCCTCCCGTTCCAAACCCGGGCACATCGTGACAAAACAAAGAACACCCCATAATAGTCAGTCACACTGTATGCATGGCAACCAGTTATGTCAGAGATGAAGGCACTGTGTGTGTTTTACTGTAAACTGTTTATGAGCAGAGACACACAAATTATAGGCTAACACACACACACACACACACACACACACACACACACACACACACACACACACACACACACACACACACACACACACACACACACACACACACACACACACACACACACACACACACACACACACACACACACACACAACTAAACCATGACAAACATATGCATCAAGCCACAACACAAAATCACAGAAAGGTTCAAAAGTACGTAGAAGTAAAAGTACACTCATTTAAAAAATGTCATTAGCATAAAAAACGTAATAAAAACCCAACTGCAACACATTCATACACAAAAACCTAAAACAGATGTTTTAAATGCTCTCTTTCATACAAAAACTCACATAGAGTCAAAACTAAACTTAAATCAGCAGATTAGATGAAATAAAACCTAAAAGAATCAGAAATACAATCACAGCTGGACGGAAAATTACAACCAAATAAGGAGAAAACTCAACAAGCTTGACTTTTTATTTATCCAGAAGTAACATAAGCAGTAGAATAAACAGTTTCATTCACATACGTATAAAAGTGTCCAACATGCAGGATGAAGGCAGTATTCCCAATCAGACAGTGTGAGAACCAGGAAGTGGGGAACGCTTTCTGGATGTTTGAGTTTAGTGTAAAAAGCAACTCATGAAAAATCATAATTTGATTTATTAATTTGTGCTGCCGTGTTTTTTTATGTGCGCTGACTCAGCATCACGTCTTTATCCAGCTACGTTTGACTTTGTGTGTTGGAGGTTTTGTGACTTTTGCATGAATGATTGTGTTCAGTTCACTCAGTAAACTCCATATTTGTGTTTTATGACGTGTGTGTGTGTGTGTGTGTGTGTGTGTGTTGTTGCTAATATCTCAATCAGACTCAAACAAACAATGTCGTCGTTCAGACACAAAACAACCAGACCTCACACTCGGTTTCTCCTATAATGCATCTTTGTTTAGACGAAGTGTGTGTGTGTGTGTGTGTGTGTGTGTGTGTGTGTGTGTGTGTGTGTGTGTGTGTGTGTGTCTGTGGGCGTCCTCTAAGTGAAGAAAAATGGAAAAAAAGGGAGAGGTCAGGTTTCTTTCCCATAATGCAACTCTCTTCCATCCCTCCCATCCTCCTCCTTCTCCACTCTCATCACCCATGGCAACACACTTATAATGAGGTCAGGTGGACATCCAATAATGTTCAACAGAGCAGTCAAACTGTCAGCGAGAGGTGAGAAGACTTCCACTCAAACAACCAGAGTTTCTGGTGACTTTTTAGTTCCCAGCAGCTTTAACTAAACCTCGTTTCGTCTTCTTGTCGTAATCTTTTGGACTTTTAAAACGTTTTTCATCAATACGTCTAAAACAATTTGGACTAAATCGTTTAAGCCAATTAGATCAAATGTAAAGCTGAAACTTGAGAAAATGAGACATTTAACCCAATAAATCCCACTGTTGGAGCTATTTACACTGTTGTTGAGTTATTTATTGGGTTTAGTTGTTGGGTAATGATGAATTTATTTATTTATTTTAGTTTTGCCTGTGAGAATAAGCCAGGAATAAAAGAGGTGTTTTGTTTTTTTTATAAATAAAACAAACAAATCACTTGTAAGTCACTTTGGACAAAAGCGTCTGCCAAATACATAAACATAAATATGGGGACTGGTGTTGGACCAGCATGCACTGGGGTGGGCCTATAGTTTTTTACCAGAGCAGGAGAAGCAGCAGGAAATGATAGAAAACAGGATCTGTGTCTTATTGCTTGCCAAAGAAAACGCAGCTTTCAAGTTTGGACATTGAACTTCTGCCTGCGTATGAAACGTTACCTCAGTGCAGCAGTGGCTTTTAAAGTTGACAACCAAAGGAACTGCCACTACACCCACAAAAAGGTGCAATAAACTATAAACTGGTATTAAACTAGTAAGGTTGAGCTTCTATAGTTTTATTATCCTGCAGACCTCTGGCTGACGTGCACACAGAAAACCTAATTAAACAACCCCATTCACCCTGAATAATCAAGAAAATCCAATCAAGGATTTCTTAAGAAAATATAGTAAAAAAAAAAAAGCTTTCAGACTTTAAATGGATTTTTTAAACATGAAAAAGTGTTTTTCTGTGTAAAAACGATAGATGAGTTACATAACTGCCTCTGTTTAGAGAAAGAGAGTTTAAAGTTTGGAGTTTTGCGCAGTCGTCAGGTAAAAACTCTGCACTCATTTTAATTTAAATCTGCTGTCGCTATTGGCTAAGAAGTACACTATGACGCTCTTTAAAGAGCTAGTCACCCTCCGCCAGAGTCTTACTCCGCTCCCACTTCCTGTTTAAAAATGCAACAAATTAAGTTGCCTGGCAGACCGAGAGGGCAAAGCCGCCAACAAATACACACACACACAGGCTCACAACATTGTGACATCATAATGTACCAGCTAACATCATAGTGTACCTCTTAGCCAATAGCGATGGCAGGTTTAAATTCAGATGCAGTGCAGAGTTTTTACCTGACGACGGCACAACACTGACAGTTTTAGGCAGAAATTTTAAAATTGAACTAAGGTGCCAAATTATTCACTACACGTGTCTTCAGCACGATTAGATACTCATTCACATAGTTTATCAGCAAAAACAAAGTTGATTTGGGGTGACTTGCTCTTTAAGTCTTTCAGGACTGATGTGCTAACGGCTAGTCCCACTCCAGCCAGTGTTAAGATCTCCAAAATTTCACATTTTAAAAAGGGTTTTATTTTACATTATTAAATCAGCAAAAATACATTTCTGTGGCTCTTCACACTTGGCTGCACAAAGTGCTACATCTAGCAACTGCTCTCGTTTTATATGTTTATTGGTTAACGGCTATAAATTTCCACATAAATGACCCGTCATGCAAATGGATAAAGTATAAAAGTTAAAAGAAGATCTTTTCTGTAGCGTCTCTCAAGTTAAAAATCACGAGGCGCTTCACAAGAACAAAAATTTTTAAAATACAAACATTATTTTTATAAGTTATATTAAAAATAATAATAAAAATTGTGATTACAATTAACATGAAAGGTAAAGAGAAAATGGTGGGAACTACATACATAAACATGAGTGTGGCTTAAAGGTTGCTGGAGACAATCATTTTTAATTATTTATATATAAGTATTTGTTTGACGTTTTAATTACAGTATGCACTGCAGTGTATTAACAGGTGTTTCAAATCAGAGCTTTATTGAATAAATGAAAGTTATAAATTGGGGTTGATCCTTCTTTTCACTGATGAGACGAGCCCCTAACCTCTCGGCCACGGCAGCACTTACGAACCTCAGCAGAATAATATCCATAAAACAATTCTTAGCTAACCCATGTCAGGTTTTGGGTAATTCCATATTTCCTCGCCACAGCCGAGTTGTCTGTAATATGCTGGATTGATAAAAATAAAATTACAATAGTAGCGGTATCACAGTAGGACCGACCGTCCAAGAGAAGACAAAGAACTGATATCCGTCAAAGCACCGCAGAAAGTACAGCCCTATAAAACTGACAACAAATGACCAGTTTTTCATGTTTGATATTAAACGAAAGTTTAGTTTAGCTAAAGCGCTAACTAGCGTTTACAATTCAGCAGGGGCGGGGTTAGGGGGTGGCTACTTGGGCTCAAGCCCTGGACGTTTTCCGAAACTTCCTGGAGCCTCATTTATCAAAACGTTCGTACGAACGTTCCTATATTCCTTCCTACAAATGAAATTTAGGATGTGTGTACTCCTGATTTCGGAAACGTGCGGTGGCCTCATCTCCACGTTCCTCCGCTATCGACTGATGATAAATCCCACTTGTGTGTACCCAGGTGCTCGTGTCCTTTCACTGTCATTTACATACAGAAATGCCCTCAATTAACCATATTTGGTCACGCTACGTCCTCAGCACGTGACAGGATTCCCTGTTTTTTGTCCAGAAAAAATAAGAAAAACCTTATTGACAACGAGATCTAATCACTGGCTGCCGAAGCGCAAAAAAAAAAAAATTATACAAACAAATTTTATATATATATATAATTTGTTTTTATAATTTTTTTTATATAAATAAATAAGTTGTAGAGGTTATAAATGCGGTAGGGACAGAGAAGAGGTTCCAGTCGGCAATAAATACAAAATAGATTTGATAAATTGTAGAGTAATGGGTTGTCATTTACATTTAAGGAGTCGTTTTGTTTGGAGTTCGTTTCATTTGGAAATCTCATCCGAGAGTGCAGCCTCAGCCTCTTCTGAGCAGTCATTCAGTCTGGTATGACCGGGGAGCAGAGGAGGTTCTGGGGGGTTCTCATAGTTTTAAAATAAAATTTGTACTGGAATCAGATTCGTGAGATTTGTCTGTCGCACCACAAAAGGTCCCAAATCACAGCATAGCAGAAGGATTTCCTTTGAGATCAGTGTGCTCACGGAGAACGTGTTCCCTCCAGTGTGCATGCTCTATTAAATACTTAAATAACACAGATTAGTCATGATATAATGTCAGATTCCCGTTGGTCACGTGCCTTTTATTGGTTTTAGCACCAATTATGCACAAAAGCTGTTTTTCCACCGATGTAACTACATACTGGGTAAATATAATTTGTGGATGAAGAACACGCATCGATGACTGAGACCATCAGAATTGCTGTTCCCCCGTTCTACCGCTAGATGCTGTCCCTACGCATGGTCAGAGCTGTTCTTGTATTTAGGAACATTTTCACGCACAAAAATAGGTAAATACCACACAATGCGTAAAATCGTTCCCACTCACGAAATACGCGCAGATCTGCTCTTAAGTACGGTTGATAAATGAGGCCCCTGAATTTAAATGTTACTTTTGGTAGTGGAAAAAAAAATGCTTGTACACGCACACACGCACGCACGCGCACACGCACACACACACACACACACACACACACACACGCGCACACACACACACACACACACACACACACACACACACACACACACACACACACACACACACACACACACACACACGTGCCCAGTTGTATGGTTTAACACTTTAGGATTTAAAACAAATTATTTGGCGTTTATTCAAATCTATCCAAGAAAAACATAACAAATTCCACCTTGTCATTGTTATTGTTATTGTTATTTTTTTCTGACAAACTATATAAATGTGTGTCTTAATCGTGCTGCAGACACGTTTAGTCAATAGTTTTGCACTTTAGTGCGTTTTAGTTAAAAATTTTATGTTCTGCCTAAAACTGTCAGTGTTGTGCCGTTGTCAGGTAAAAACTCTGCACTGCATTTTAATTTAAATCTGCCACCGCTACTGGCTAAGAGGTATGCCATGATGTAAACTGGTACATTATGATGTCACAATGCTGTTGTGAGCCTGTGTGTGTGTGTATTTGTTAGCAGCTCCGCCCTCTCGGTCTGCTAGGCAACAGTATTTGTTGCATTTTTCAAACAGGAAGTGGGAGTGGCGTAATAATCTGGTAGGGGGTGACTTGCTCTTGAAGCATTATTGTTTTGTTTCATTTTAAAAATCGATTATAGTTTTTCAGCTGATGTCACCAATGGTTACCATGAAAACAATGCTGCACTTTTTAAACCCTTCTGATTCTGTGACTTGTTTAGAGGACATTTTCAACCGAGAGCTCAACATCTTCACGAAAACGGTAAGAAAAACGATGCTTTCGAATGAGATTTTATACTCCTCTGCCCTTCTGAAGTAGCCTTTTGAATCTTTGATTTTTGGAAACTTTGGATTTTAGCAGATTTGCCATCAAAATTTTTGCCATTAGTGCATGAATGCAGCAGAATCATATTGGTACGATAATTTGGGCTGCCAGTGAGATCTTTAAATGGAAATCAGTCCATTTAAATTATTATAAAACTATTGTATAGCTGTCTATATCTTTACCAGAAATAGTTAAACATAGCTTCATCTTTTATTAGCTAGTTTCCACAGCATTTCCTTAAATATGTTGTGTTCTTTTCAATATTCCAGAGGTGATTCCTGGACAGAGAGAAGAAGTGTCACCACCAGGAAAATGTCATCACTGGAGAAGGTGGGTTGACTTCACTTGTAGTTGGTCAAAAGCGTTGCTTTGGATAAACACATTTGCCAAATGCATAAATAGAAACATGGAATCTGATTGCTGGGAAACATCTGAAGCAGGGATGTGTATTGTTGAAATTCTGGCGATACGATACATATCACGATACAGGGGAGACGATACGATATATCACGATATATTGCAATACATCCAGTCAGCCGTTACAAGCAATTTTTTTACTGAATTTATTGTAAGAATGCTCAATGAACAGTCCAAACTGATACGTAACATGTTTAACATGAGGTATCTGACCCATGATGGAGGGATTTACATTTCAATGGTGGAAACAAAACCCGTTGCAAACTGCTGCCAACTAGCGGGTGGCAATTGAATTGCACAAAACGAAAAGAAAATATACAAATGTTTGCATGTAAATGCTTTCAAAGATTAGATACATGGCTTTTGAATATTGATGTAATAAACTCAGGAAAAAAATATCACGATATATTGCCATATCGATATTTCCGATACACGGTTTTTGAATATCGATATAATATTGCTGGAAAAAATTTCACGATATATTGCCATATCAATATTTTCTTACATCCCTAATCTGAAGCATTTGAAAAAAAAAACAGTGTAATCTGTTATTAATGTTGTAAATTATAATGTGATGTCTGGTACAAAACTATTATGTTTGTATTATGATAGAAGTTAGTTTATCTGCTTAGATTTTTCCACAGTAAACATGAGTTTGTGAGAGAACATTTATGAAAGCACCTTTATTAACCCACCCACTGTCTTTATGGGTGACCCCGTGAGGAAAGTTGACCATTGAGCAGGGTTGTTGGTTTATCCCTTGGGTCCACATGGCAGGGGTGAGGAGTGAGCACCACCTCACCCCTGCGACATGGACCTCAAAGGATAAACCATCAATCCTGCTCAGTGGTCAACTTTCTTCGCGGGGTCACCCATAAAGTCAGCGGGAGGGTTAAAAGCTTTTTTTGTGTGGACTTTTTCTTTATTTCAGCCTACCGACAAGACCAAGAAGCGTTACTGCTGTGACCAGTGTGACAAGAGCTTTCGACATCCACCACATTTAAAACGTCACCAGCAGATTCACACTGGAGAAAAGCCATTTCCCTGTGACCAGTGTGGGAAACGCTTTACTACCTCAGGGAATCTGAAAACCCACCAGCGGATTCACACCGGAGAAAAGCCATTTCCCTGTGACCAGTGTGGGAAACGCTTTACTACCTCAGGGAATCTGAAAACCCACCAGCGGATTCACACCGGAGAAAAGCCATTTCCCTGTGACCAGTGTGACAAGAGCTTTCGACATCCACCACATTTAAAACGTCACCAGCAGATTCACACCGGAGAAAAGCCATTTCCCTGTGACCAGAGTGGGAAACGCTTTCATCAGTCAAGGGATCTGAAACATCACCAGCGGACCCACACTGGAGAGCAGTAACACGTGTGACTGGTTCAGAGTTTTAGTGTCTCCATAAACATATTTACCTTGATGGACCAGATAAGTCACTTGAATGGGTCAAAGTTTCAAGCCTCAAACAATGTTTCATTAATACAAGTCTGCATTTAACTCAATGTGTGAAGTTTTCTTTTAAATGCATAAACACAACAAGCAACGATTATCTTTGCATAACCAATCATGCAAAATAGCTGCATTTACAAGCTTTTGATCCTTCTTTTTATGTAAAAAATCTTCTGCAACCGCTGAATATCAATGTTGAAAGAGGACAGCCCAGAGTAATGATGCGCTCAACTGTTCAGTGCATAGAAAAAAAATTTATTATCATTTTACTGTTGGGAATTTTAGCTCACACCAGAAAAGTGTCTAATGTTTTTCAGAATAGTCAGAGGTACTTTGTGGTTTAATAGTTGGTTTGTAAGAAACAAAATAGCTTAATAGGGTTTTTACATAATCAGACTAACTTCTAACAGCATCAGTTCATAGTTGATTGTGCAAGATGATTAGTTAAGTAGACGTTCACGGGTTTGGAATGATTCAGTGGTTTTTTTACATTTCCACTATGGGGATGAACTACAGACTGTTTGTGGAAACATGTCAGGCAGTTGGAAAATTAGACAGATTTTAATATTAATATCAGACATGCTGGCTGACAAGTAAAGATTTAAAAATTGATTTTCTTTTTGCACATACAAAAATAAATAAATAAATAAATAAATAAATCGCTTCTCTGGGCTAAGCCCCAGAACTTCTTCAACCCGAAATCCGCCCCTGCGATTCAGCACGCTGATCACCGATTAGATGGGACAGATTTCCCAGCATGCCATGCTGTTTCTTAAATGTTGAAAATTAAACTAAATTCTTTATTTATGCTTTACTTTTGTTCAAAGTTAAGCCATCTTTGATTAAATGTAGACCTATATTTATATCTAAAAAAGCTGAGCAGACTTACAGTTATATGTTAACAGTGAACGAGCGACAGCATGACTGAAACGGGTTACGGAGTTGATGAAAAATAATCTATTTAGGTGTTGAGGAGTAGATATCGTCAAGAAAACAGACATGTGCACTCGTTATTAAGAGTGTTCTTGTTCAAAAGTGGTGGGGACACGTCACTGGCGTCCATGGTTAACGGACTATGTCCTATAGGACAAGAACTCCATTTCTCTGAACAGGAAACCATAATATCCAGAATAGTCTTATTTTTCTAACTTGAACACAGAAAAACTTCATAATTAATTTTTAAAAATGATTTAATAAAGCTGAAACACCAAAAGAAATGATAAAGATGTAAAAGAGAAAAATAGGACGAGGGAAGAAGAGGGAGGAAGTAGGAGAAAAATCAGGCTCCCGTTTGTCTGAATACGTTTTATTGATGTTTGTCACTCAGACAAAGAAACAAGCAGCCTTCATGCAGGGATGTCTGAAGAATCCATCTTAGACTTCCAATTTTGAAAGAGCTCAGCTCATTTAAATCCAGCAGAACGGCTCCCCCTAGCGGTCAGAACGGAGCAGTGCAGCCTACAGATGCCACCAGATTCTCGACTGGTTTTAATTTTAATTGTATAAAAAAAGAGACACATTTTAACAAACCGTAGCATTTTGCCTTTTATTATAAATTAAACAATTAAATAATCATATCTTCTTCATACTTTGGGTATTTTCTGTATTAGTTTTGTTGCAAAAATATTTGATTTTTCTTTCTTACAAGGAGCCAAAACGCTAAATAGTTCAAAGTTTAAAGAATAGACTTGAGTTGCTTTTATAGTTATGTTGCTTTTGAAATAAGATTTATTCCTTGTTTTCTAAAAGAGCAGAAATTAGGTTTTACTTTTTCCATAAAGGAAAAAAAAAATATATATATATATATATATAAATATTAAATCAATCTCTTCTTATGCCAATTCAGGACATTTATACATTATAGATTTGAATAAAACAGCAAAAATATTACTATAAAATGTCCTAAAGATAAGGAAATGTGAAAAGTGAGAAAAAAAAAACAATGAAATCTGGATGAAACAACGTTCAAGTTTTATTTTCATTATTTCTAATCCTAACCCTCAAACATTCAAATCTTTATACAGATTACTGCATCTGTAAATGTTGCTTTAAATAAATTCTCTCCTCCTCCAGTAAAAGCTTATAATAAAATTCTGTCAAACCAACCCGATGATTTCTAATCTGTTGGCACTTAAAGTCGTGTTGTTCAAAAAAAATGAAAAGAAATAAAAAAATTCTATGTCTAAAAACCTTTAAACATTGTTTCTAAAGAAACAATTAAATACTCTTAAAATCAGAGAAGAAAATAGCTAAATCAGCAAATAAGAAAAAGAAAATCAGTTCCGTGGAAAATGGATCCGTTTAAAGGTTGGAATTGTTCTCAGGGCTTTAATTTAAACCAAATCCAAGCAGGAAGCTAGTGTCGCTCACTCCGATATCATTCGAGTCCTCAAAATACGAGCCGGGAACCGCATGCAGAACATTTTTTATAGTGATCTACACTGTAAGAAGGTTTATGTTTAATTAACTTAACCACGTTAGAACAACTGGTTCCACTCCACATAGCTGCTTGGATGTAAAGAGTAACTTACATTGTTTTATGTTAGGGATGCACCGATACGATACTGGTATCGATACAGATACTGATACCAGTATCGTATCGGTAAAAGTTAACAAATACCAGTAACTGATACCAATGCAGTTGCTTGAATGTGACTTCACTGTAACTTGTTCACCTAATATTTTAGTTTTGTGATCACTTATATTACTTTTTCTCTACCTCACAGTCTTTTCCTATTGAAAACAGAAGAAAATAAAACCTGTATTCCAATTCATTGCATTTTTTGTGTGGTAGAAGTATCTGTATCGGTAATCGGTATTGGCGAGTACTCAGATCCAAGTATCGGTATCGTATCGGTTTGGAAAAAAGTGGTTTTGTTGCATCCCTATTTTACGTTACATTAAACAAATGGGTTTAGTGGAACCAGTCGACATAACTGGGTTAATACAACACATCCTTTCTTACAGTGTAGCTTTAGCTCCATATTCTGACGTTTGTTTTACGTTTTTAAGCATGGATTTAGTCCATCTTTGGCCAAATAAAACTCCAAAGACCAACCTTCACACCGAGCTTTCCCCAATAAGAGAAAACGGGATGAGACTTCCGAGGAGTTCCTAAAACAGAAGTTTTACATTTAACTACTAAAACTAATGAAACAAAGGAGTTTCTCCTCCATAAACATTTGTTCTGATCCGATTTAAGCAGAAAGGCGTTTCTCAGGGAATCGTTTATCTGATTAAACAGATTAGCTGGAGAGATGTCGGATTAAGGTGCAACGAGAATCCAGACGGACCGTTTTAACTCAGAGGAAGCTCCTCCATGTTTGTGGTGTCATCCCCGAGGCAGTTGTAGGGCTAAATAAGCACTTATCAGTAATAAAGCTTTAAAAGTCGGGATTGGAGTTGGGTTCAAAATTCCCCAAAGCCGTCAGCAACAGGAACACAGCAACAGGAACATAGCAACAGGAACTTAACAGAGCTGGTGCGTGCTCCTTTCAAAGTAAAATGGTAAAAAAAAAAAAACGCTCAGATTGAGTTGGTTTATTTATATTAAGGCTAAATTGGTGCTAAAACACAGATTAAGGTCCTTTAGGATCCGGGGAAGGTCAACGACTCGCATCTACTTTTCTTCACATCCATAAGGAAATAAGGCATTGTGGATATTTTTCTATGATTTTGAGGTTTTCTGTATTTGAAAACTTAAAACAGCGGATTTTTGAGTCTTTCCAGAAAAAAAACATTTTAGTTTAGAAACAAGTTTCTGTGCTAGAAAATGTTCCACAAACAACGGAATAAAAATGTTACTTTTTGGTTTATATGTGCGTAAAAGCTGGCGTATAATCGTAGAGGAACGGATTTAACCACAACGTAGTGCCTCGTGATTCATTTACATTAAATCTGGATTATTGCAAGACGACTTTTCCAAATGAGGAGCTGGTTTCCAGTTTTACTTGTAAAAGCGACTTCGTTTTATTGCATCTTCCAAGAAATTTCAGGTTCAAGCCTCAGTAGCTCCGCCCACTTCCCCCCGATTAATGCCTGCTTCCTGGTTAGTGAGGAGTGTTAGTTATATCAGGAATCTATTAGGAAACGAAATCCGTTCCAACACCACACCCTCGTTAGGCCACTACGGATGAAGGCACAGCTGAAACGTCACCCACCCTCCCCCCAGTACTCCCGTTCAGGACGACCTCCTCCTCTTCCTCAGGCGTCTATAGGAGGAAGCAGTGCCTCTTCGGTTTGGTGTCTGGAGGCTCTAGAGCTGCCAGGATGGCCTCGTCGAACACGTTCTTCAGTCCTCTCTGTAGGGGAGACACGGGTGAGCTCATTTCTTTGACACAAAGCTAAATCACGTACGTCAGACATGATGAACGGGTGTTGTGTACCTGCGTGAGAGCCGAGCACTCCACATATTTGACGGCTCTGAGATCGCGGGCCAGTTTCTCTCCGCTCTCATAGGCTAGGGGGCGCTGTTTGTTCTTGGCCAGTTTCTCCAAAGTGTTGCCGTCATCTCTCAGATCCACCTGAGTCCCGACCAGCAGGAACGGCGTCCGCTGGCAGTGGTGCTGAATCTCAGGAACCCACTGTAAACAGAAAACACTCGGGGTCAAGGGTGAAACCCGGTTTTCCTCCCAGTTGGTACCTTCTTCATCTAGTTGTGTCCTTTTTCTAAACGTTCTGTAACTTCTATATGCTGTGGACCCTAAGCTGAGTTCTGTTTTCGTGCGCCGCAGCTTTAAGTACATTTTTGCATCAGAACAAGTGATTTGGTGGAGAGCGGTGAGCTACCGCTGCGTTCCTGGGACATTTCTGGGAGGGGGAAGGAGACGGGGACAACGGTTCGGTCCTCTCAGCCGTTGTTTCCATAACAAATTCAGCTCTTCGTGGAATTTGCAAAGGCATCAGCATTTTGCGACTGTTTTGGCAGAGGGACGTCGCTGATTGGTGCAAAAGGGCATCCACAGCCACAGACATGAACTGTCGCACCGTTATTTAACTGCGCTCTGAAGCAGATCATTTTCTTTTCCTGTCATTTTGCTTCACCGGCAACTCAAATGCCGGTTGTTTGGCGACGTGTGCCGGTAACATTCAGCAGCATCGGTTAACCACAAGTCCTGCCCAGCGACACCAGGGGGCCTTCCTAAGTACATACCCCAGTTCAGGTAATCGGTAAAAAGTCCTTCCGATCCACCCGGTGAAACGGAGACACCACCGTGCCATAAAGATCCGATAAAATTACCCAGAAGTTCTGACAGTGGAAACCTGGTCATCAGGTGAAAAGCCCCGCCCCCTTTGGAATGCCACAGCTCAGACTCCTCAGCAGAAATGTTATCTGACGTAATGCTGCCACGATTAGTCGATTCGCCAAACAAAATTGTCGACGATAAATGTAATAATCGACGCCATCTCTTATTTAGTGAAGCTTTTTTTTTTTAAATCAGACATCATGGCGAGCCGGCAACGCAGCGCCAAAGTTTGGGAGCATTTTACAAAGATGAAAGAGAATCTGCAAAGTAGAACTCCCACAGGAGCGCAGCGGAAGACCCGAAAAGGAAGCGCGCCGTGGCGGAGGAGGAAGATGGACAGACGCCTCTGTGAGCTGATTAGCTCTCGTTAGCTGCTAACATCAACCGGGCGGTACTTCTATTTATAGCTGTTCAACAACAGCAGCGATAGCCATTTTATTACCTTTAGCACACGTATGGCACGTATTTGCTCTAGCGTTACAAACGCTAACGATTCACCGTATCCCGCTACGTTACCGAGTTTGTTACCAAGCCGACAGCATGCACTCCTCGGCAAGCGAACGTCCTGACCGGGGCACTTGAACCACGTTGTTTCACAAGCTATCATCTTGTCTTTGTTTGGCGCATAACTGATCCCACTGGAACTAACCATGGATATGTTAAGAGCAGCTTTCTTAATGCCTAACACGATTAGTCGACTAATCGCCAAGAAAACTGGTGATTAGTCCATTATTAAAATAATGGTTTGTGGCAGCCCTAACCTGAATTTTTAACGGGTCACAGAATGCATTTGGTGTTTGTTACACAACCACAGTTTGAGTTTTCTGATTTATTATTTTTCCTGTTTTTCCGCTCCGGCGTTATTCAGAAGGTTCACGGAGCATAAAGCGTTTTAATGAAACCTTTTCTTTGACGTTCTCAAAGGAGGAAGGCGATACGACGGAGAAACAGACGAGGAAGACGTCAGTCTGAGGGTAGCTGAGGGGTCGCAGTCTGTCGTAGTCCTCCTGGCCTGCAGGGGGAGACAAAAACATCAGTTTAATTTAATTCTACTGCAACAAAAAGGAAAATAAGTAACGCATCTTCTGGAGCTACAGAACGTAAGATCATGTCGAAGGAATTCTCTGCAAATGTTCATATTTTTAGACCATCTTCTTGAGCCAGTGTGTGCTAAAACGACCATTTAGGGTTAATGAAATGTCAGTCCCCATGCCGCCTGTGGCCAGAATACCGGACTTGCAACTTCTGAGTTGCCGGTCCGGTCCCTGATGGTGAGGGGAGCTGTGGAGTGGAGTCTGCTTCCAGCTGTAACGCGATGAAGGAGCTATTCCACCGAAGGTTATCTACCCTCTCTCCACAGATGCCTCTGACACAGAACTAGTCTGCATGAGATGTGGCCTCAAGGTCTCATGCATTTGCTTCTAAACTGCTTCCTTTCCAGCTCAAGAGAAGAATGAAGAATGGACTCTCTCCTTTTAATAAATCAAAGAACTCTTATTTTAATAAAGCTAATCAAACAAAGTGTTAGTCAATAATAAGATGGGACCAATCTGTGAAATCAAAATATTCATTACTTTATTATAATCCTATAGAAAATAATAAGTAATATGACTTTAAATGTTTCCACTAGGACTGATCTCACGTAGCGTTAAGAGACGACACATTGCTTTACTGATCCAATCAGAATCAGCCAGATCTGACGGAGGCGTGGTTTTGGTGGTGTTTGGTAAATCTGTCATCTTTTCATTCGACCAGAAACCAAAACATCCGAAGTATAAAACTATGCCCACGTCATCTTTAACACCAGTTCAAAGCGTTCTAGAGAAGTTGTTGGAGTGGCCGATCCGTAACTTTCCTCTTCAGCCGAAAGAACCAACGACAAGCTGGATAAAATCTGTTGCTGTTCCAACTGCTGCAACAGTTCCTTTCAGAATAAAAGCTGAACCATCACGACCCAGTTTTGGGTCTCACTAGATGCCGATAAACTGTTGTGACCCGGAAGTATCTCAAGACTGGTCTGGTCGGCGGCCGCGGCTGTTCTACAGGCTTCGGCTCCATAAAGGTCAAGCTGGACCTCTACACCTCCTGATCTAGACGGGGACTTCCGCTAAGGGTACGTAGACCGACAAACGGTGTTGAATGTGTTTATGAATCTCCTAACCAAAGCTTAGCGCGAAGACATCACCTTCATTTCCCACCAGAACTAATCGTTTCTTCGGATTTGCTGGTTCTGAGCAACATTCCACACTACACCATTCTGTCTCATTCACCTTAGTTACACCATACATTTAGTGTTTAAGTTAGTCTAGTTTAATTTGTTTAGTGATAAATCTTTAAACTTTTAAACTCGACTCTCTCTTCTGTTGTCTCCGAGTTAATACGAGGGTGTTACATAATCCCTGCAATAAAAAGTTCCAATCTTCTGGTTTAAATAACCCAACAGATCCATAAGGTTGATTTCATATTTACTATGGAATCTTATGTCTTATGGCTCAATAAATAACATGTAAATTAAACCATTACATAGCTCATTTCCTGCGTATTTTAGATCGTGAACACAGCTGGTTTGTTTGATTTAGTGATGAATCACTATTCTAGAAACTAATGAAAGCTGAGGGGACATTTCAGAAAGTTAGATTAAGGTGTTAAAAAGACAAACACACAGCGAGGAGATAAGTTTCATCTTTGGTATATCCACAGTGAATTAATAACGGACACTAGGGGGTGCTAAAAGCAACAAAACTGCATAGTATCCCTTTAAAATAAAAGCACAAAGCTGCTTCTCTAAAAAAATATCTGTTCAGTTTTGTAGGCAAGCTTCAACAATGAGAATCATCCAGCATAATAAAGTGGGATTAGATTTATTTTCACCTGCAGTATCAAAGAGTCCGAGGGTGTACGGCTCTCCGCCGATCATCACCGTCACCGCATAGTTGTCAAACACCTGTGGGACACAGAGGGTGAGCAGATCACAAGCAAGTAAAGAGGAAGACAGAAAATAAGGAAGGGAAAATGTATTTTCCAATACTTAAGATGCTTAATCATAAGGACTTTAGATTAAATTAGTTTCATTTTGTGTTGTTTTTCAGATTTTAAAACACTAAATATGACTGAAAAGACTTTTCTAACTCCCCACGCCCGGCATACGTCAGGTTCACGCCCCGATGATTACGTCGGTTAAGACAGCTGACTTTAGACCTTCTGACTGTCGCATGACCAGCACCTCTTCCCTTTTTAAACAATGACCCAATTTCAAATCAAAAGGACATTTTATTACAGATTTCTCTAAACCCAGCCTCTCCCCACAGCCCAGACCCGTTCCAGAAACCGCCGCTTCACTTCATTATTCATGACCCTAGCTGGCGGGGGGTGCAGCCTCGGGTTTACTACCAGGAAACTGGAATACTACCTGATGAATAATGCAGGTTTATTACTCAGGGTCCTTAATGCATGTCATAACTGCAGTCAGCAACACGCGAGTGGTTTTAGTGGTCCGGTCCACGGCAGAAGGAGCAACCCGATGTTCCCGTGAGGTCTCCACAGAACCAGTGTTCTGATTCTTTAGTGTTATGGTGGTTTTAATGTTATCATGAGTACACTCTGTAACACAGAGGTCTGTTTTTACCCCGGTTTCTTTGGTTTTTTATTTACCTTTAGAATGAACATATTTAGGTTGAAAACACGAATTTAGGAAGAAGAGAGGAAAAAATGACTCACAGAGCCCTAAAATAAACACATCTGCCTGAATAATCTTCTAGTCCAAACTCATTTAGAAACCCAGTGCCTCCGCCACGGATCCTTTGTTATTTTTTACTGCTCTGATTACTCGCCTCATGATTTCCAAAGGGGTGAGAGACTTACGGCTACTTGAATCACAAAGGAGAATCAGCTGTGGGTGGCTTTGAAACGCCTGAAGTCAGACCGTATGGGAGAGGTTTCAACGTCTACTGTAAAGGCTCCGTTATTGTTGTTGTTATCATACGTTCTGTTACTGCAGGGTATCTGCAGGCTTAAGGGAGCCACATTCAAGACTTTTTAAGGACCCGCGGGTACCCTGTACTGAAATAAGTGTGAAACTTTTGAAGCAGCTTAACTGTGAGTTCTCAGTGGTGGGAAATCTCGCTCAGGTGAACGGACATCTCTGGCTTCCCTTCTGGTTTCCTCTCACGCCTTCAGGCTGCAGCAGAGCACGATAACGAGCGGCGTGCTCACGAACACGTCAGCTGACTCCGGCTCTGAACGTGAAAAGAGCAGGAAGTCCCTGTTCCTGCCTCCTGAAACCTACAGACATGAACCTCTAAGTTCCAGATAAGCTTTAAGAAGAACCAACTCAAACGTGTAGTGAGTATCCTGATTTTGAGCTAATCAGTTACGACTGCGACAGATTTCGGATCTGAAATAAAACTATTTAGCTTTTTTGTACAAATAACCAAACATTAAACCGTGTTTGTTACTTAAACTTGTTTTTGGGAGGAATCGAGGCAGATCAGTGCGTCAGTCAGCTGATGTTCTGATAAAGTTGGTCAGTTTATTAATTTGTCTGAATAGTTTTAGTAAATAATCGATTTTAATTTAAATGATAAAATGGCCTGTATTTGATACAGCGCATTCTAGAGTCCTGGAACCCCCCAAGGTGCTTTACAACACGCTTCACCCATCCACACCCTGGTGGTGATTCAAATTCAAAAATACTTTATTAATCCCAGAGGGAAATTAGAGTTTCAGTACACACTATTCTGAGATCAGACATACATACATAGACACATGACAAGAATTGGTGACTGTGGTCATTCGCAACACGAGTCGCGCTACCGTTATAGATCAAGAGGGTTTATATGAGGATAGAGTCTGGTGGAGGGAAAAAGGCACTTCAGAGTTACCCTCCACAGAGAGGATAGCTTTGCTATGCAAAAAACACCTCAGACAGAAATGCACACAGACTTCAGACATTACACAACATAAGTGTCCACTAGGTGGGGAGGTAGGGTTGGGACTCTCCTCACTTCAGTGCGTGCAGCCGCATGTGGCAGCGCTCAACACCTCCGTTTGGACAGGGGAGGGAGATAATGGGTTAGAGAGCACAGTCACTCCTAGATACGGTTCCACGGCCTTCACCGGTCACAGTCCTACCCAGGCTGGTATAGGGAGAAAGAGTTTCCATGGCGACGGCAGCAGTCCACATTTCTTCTGAGGGGGGAGTAATCACTTCACCCTCACAGGCTCAAGGGCACCAGATTCAGATAAGAATTGTTTTGGGTACAGACAAAGATAATTTCCTCTCTGCCTTAGAGTTCTGTTGGTCTTCAACCCCTCTAGATCCAATAATGGCGTAATTAATCAATCTATTCCAATCCGTGCTGATCCGTCCACTCGCTCCTTGATGGAATCCACCTTCTGTGCCAGAGCCTGAATCTCAGCCAGAGTTCCATGCATACGACTCATCTCGACAATTATATGAGTTTGTGCGTTCACAGCGCGGTGTAATCCATCCCTGAGCTCCGGCATTGAGCCAATATTCCTCGAAAGCTTGTTAATTTTCCAGTAAGCCAGATAACCGCTCAGGCCAAACAGCAGGAACCCTGACACCAAAACGACGAATATCCAGACGTCTTCAGTAGGGCTGCAACAAACGATTATTTGGATAATCGATTAATCGGATGGGGTCTCGACACGATTAATCGATTAATCGGATTACATGGGGAAATTTTTAAAAACTGCTAGGGAAACGTTATTTCTCTCCTTCCTTCACTTTATTTAACACAACATTATTAGAAAACAGTTCAATAGCAGAAAAACAACATGCCATCACCTAAATTGTCTTATAAGGTGTATAGACAGAGACCCTAAGCTACATCTATCTGTGACCTAAAATGCTTGGTCCAAGTTAAACAGCTTAAGGGCAATTCTCATCTGTTTTGTTTGATTTCATCTGTTGACATTTATTTTAAATGTAATTAAACATAGGCTGTGAATTAATCAAAATTGATCACTGTTTCCAAAAATGACTGAAAAAATACCAAATATAACAAAAGTAAATGAATGCCATCCTCCTTGCGATGATGCCCTGGGCAACTGCCATAAAGTCACATCAAGAAATGCTGCTGATCATTCCAATGATCCCAAATAGACTCACATTAGGCCACATGAAAGCAACTGAACCCAAAAATATATTAACCAGTATATAACTGCACTCTCACACAACACGCCTGCAGCAACAGTTAGGACTCCTCCCTCCCTTTTAAAAGCGTTTTTGCTTCCGAGGACATTGTGGTTGTAAAACCACACGCTAGTAGTCTGGCCCCGGTGTGAACAACCAGTTTCTGCGGGAATGTGACGGCGGAACCAGGGCCAGATTAACACTTTGTTGTACCCTGGGCAACAATATTCAAGGGCTCCATAATCACGACCCGAGGATCACCATAATGTGGTCACAAACAGAATATTTTACTGTAATATGCAGTAAATATACTCAATACTTGAATGCCTGACAACATGTAACCCGCCCAGAGTAACCTTTGACCCACCTCGTGTGGACTGACCAATGAGGAGAGGGTCTTAACTTGAGGCCCTCTCTTCATTGGTCAGTCTGCATGAGACTGACTCTCAACTGACGTTCAGTCATAGGCAGCGAAGCGTCTCTGTGCAGCGCAAAAGCCCGGGTGGACAGTTTGTTTAATACAGGGTGACCATATTTCCATTTCCAAACAAGAGGACAGGGGATCTGTGCCTATGACGTCACACTATGGCAACGCCACACAAACCATGCTGGGACCCATTTTTTGTAAGAACTAAATTAATATCAGATTCTGCCAATAAAAGGGCTCTAAAACAATTCATATGTAAATATTTTGCATATTTAATGCAAAATCTAATTTTTCTGCTTTAGTGCTGCAACAAGGTTTTATTAATAATAAATTATTATACCTTTTGTTTTACTACAGCATCAGTAAGCTTCCTGTGCACAGATTATTAAGGGGGGGGGGGGGGGGGGGGGGCATTTTGCCTTGGCCCCCAAAATGTCTTGAAACGGCCCTGGGTGTGTGACTGAGTTTTGAAATTGTATCAGATGTATAAATATGACATGTGTATAACTTATTGTTTTATACAGGTAAAAACGTGTAGTGGAGATAAATCTACCTACATTTTACTTTTCAGCACTTTGTTTTGTTTTCTTGTTTTTATTTAACTATTTTCCTGTCCTGTCCTGTCTGTCTCTCATCTTCCTGCATCTCCTCTTAATTCTCCAGAAAATATGTTGCCTGGATTCTTACCTTTTCACCTCATCAGTTACTTTTGAGCAGACCAAAGGAATCTCCTGACCGTAAAGCGCAGAGCGCGTTTTCGATGCTGCGTGAGGGGACATCACCACAGGTGATGAGCTCCGCAGTAGCGCGCTTCAGGCACAAATACAGAAAATAGAGAACATGTGCAGACAAGAACGATCGTGTGCTAATTAGTTTTTTGGTTGCGCCACTTTGAGAATGGACCGTGCGCTGGAAGCAGCTGCCTGGATCGCTGCGCAACAATGCGGAACCGGTTCGCAGCAGCGCAAGTCTGCCGGCTCTCCCTCGCGCTGATCTGCCGGCTCTCCCTCGCGCTGATCTGCGGCTCTCCCTCGCGCTGATCTGACTTGCTCTGGTCTGCGCGCAACGGCGGGCGGGAAGGGGGGGGGGGCGCTTTTGGAAGAGTTGTGCGACACAACGAATCGATGACGCAATTCGTTGCCAACGCTTTTAGTAATCGATTTTCATCGAATTTATCGATTCGTTGTTGCAGCCCTAGTCTTCAGAATCCTCTACAGACAGTTGAGAGAGGCAGATCAGGTTCCACTGTTTCCAGGAGTCCATGATATGCCCAGCTGGCTCTGTCCCAGAGGGGCACCCGGGAGCCCCTTCTCCCGTTCTCATCGTTGAAAAAATGTTGTCAATCGCATTGAGAGACCAA